AAATGTTTTTTGGCTGCTGTTGCCAGACTCACGGCTAAATCAAAGCTGCTGATGCAAGTTCAGGGTGAGAACAGAGTGGCTTCGTCCCGCAACCAAGTTTCATCGTATCGTATCGTAACTATATTTATCTGTCTAGATTTATCTCTCTAGATTTATCGCTCTAGATTATTTTTCTCCCTATATTGAACTCTCTATATTTATCTCTCTATATTTAGTTTGGGATGGCAGAATTTGTTGATTTATACGCGTGCGATTAACGACCAGAGAATAAATTGATTTAAATTATCAAAGAGTAGGACAATTCTTCAGATGACGTTGGTAGATCGAAAGGCATATATCAAGAAGGAGTTTTAGTTTATTAACGACGTTTCGAATGTAACAAACATTCATTTTCAAGTTACAAAGAGCATTAAATATTGAAATTCTGGTGGAAATAAGTACATAATATATGTAAATAGGATACTATAATAAAATTTTGAATCAAAAAATCACTCTGAAAATCATTTCAAAGTTCAGCCAAATCCGGTACTTAAGAAAGAGGTAGCAGGCGTCCAATTCGTAGACACGATGAGGCTAGCCATCTTCGGTCGATTGATGTCAGGCCACTGCTTGATGACAATGCTGGTGGTTCCTTCAGCACAAAGCGAGTGACGGTCTGGTTGTGAGATTGTCGCGTGTGATTCCCTTGCCCTCCGGGTTGGAGGTAGCTAATGAGACAGCGTCTCGGTGTCCTGGTTGTTGATCCAAAGTGTCCGAAGTAGTCCATAAGATAAAGAAGTCTACAACCTTCTTTGAAGTAAAATTTATAGACCACAACGGCCTCTCGGACAACTCCCGAGTTTTTGCGAGGGCCATTTTCGCGTTTAGTTCGGAGTTTGATGAATATACATATATACATATATACATATATACTCTCTATATTTATATACATATATACATATATCTCTCTATGTACTCTATCTATATACCCTCTCTATACCTCAGTATAAATTGTAACATTAAAATATACCTCATTATGAACAAAAGCCTAGTCTAAATGCGCCTACAGTTCATATCCAATCTATATTGTAAATGGAAAGGTTTGTCTGCTAATGTTCACTTTATTCGTGTTTGCTTTCATTTCACAATTTCAGTGATTATATCTTTAATGTACATTTTATTATGCTAATTGTTTGTACATGTGTTTCAGGTTTTTCAGCTGACGATGGAGCTGGACTCCGAAACGTTTCTCTCATTAGAAATGGTTATTTTTTTGCTGTTTTCTTTGCTTTTCAATTCTTGATTAACTTGCGATTTAATCAATCAAGTGACCTTAATCATTATAAATATTATATGCGGAGCCAGCGTTCTAAGGCAGCCGATATGGTAAGCGTACAGAGGGAAGATAACTTTCGGCCGCTGGTATAAGATTTTTTTTTAATTTTAAATAAGTAAACTATAGACACGAGCGACAGGGTCGAGGGTAGTCGCTTAATTGTACTTTCAATAATAAGCTTACACGAACACGTTTTAACTTCATCGAATTTCTAAGATATTTTACATGTTCAGCATAATTGTGTTTCTAAGAATTTAATCTGATTAACTCTGCATAAATTGATAAAATAGTGCATAATTGATGTCGGTCTTCATGTTTTGCATCGAAATCGACACCGAAGTTTAAGCAATATATTTTAAACAACAGCTGGAATAATGATATTAACCGTGGCTCTCTTGTCTATTTATAGGGACTGGTCCTCTCCGTTTCGGATTATTCAATTTATACATATTTTTGGTGTTAAATACTCCAGATAAAGAGGGTGCCTGAAAAAAATGAAAAATTATCGTGATATAAAAATTTATATCGATGAATAGATGCCATATAATAACAAAAAACATATCCCCGCATAAAAAAGCTCAAGGTAATTAACGAATACATGTGAATTACTTGAATTACACATGGAATTCCCTTGAATTAATTTTAGTAATTTTAATCATACTTTTAATCAGTCGAGTTTTCTATTCGTTCTCAATTTAGTCAACTCGTGCCTGATTCTTTTCACTCGCTGATGGATAAGAAACCGATACTAAGTAACTAAGTTTTCTGTGCGTGATTAACTTTGCAGTGGCTCTCTGCATTACATTCTAAAAATTATATTCTCAAGCCAATAAATCTGTAAATGTATTTAGAATCAAGTTGCGGGTTTTCTACTTAACCGCAGCGTCGCCACGGGTTGCATTCTCGTCGTATTGGCCATATTGGCAGAAATATTGACGAACATGAATGCTTGCCCGAAGCTCCTGATTATCTTCAGTTCTTTCGAAACTGGAGTGGTTCTTGGAGTCAATATCCATTCGTCGATTTCTGGCACTGAGGCTTGAAATTTGAATCTCGAACCTCAGGGCATTCAATATTGAACTATTCTTTTGCTCGGGTTTCACTGTTGGTTCATTTACAGTTGTTCTATTTTATGAGCGACATTTTGTCGCTCTCCTTTGCTCACTAATTAGATTTATGATTATTATTCACTGCAAAATTTACTACTTTCATTTTCGATCATTATATTTATTGTGGCCAATACGAGACAAAATGTTTTTCCGTGTTCAAAATTAGGTACCTTTGTCACTTTAAAATAACTCAGATATTGGCAGTTAAGCCAAGTGCCCAAGAAAGAAGAGCAAATATTTATTGGATTTACGTAACCGATATTCATAATTTTGTTTGAGCAACATTTAAATCAGCATTTTTTATCCGAACTTGATCGAATGATAGAATTCGTTGAATGAATGAACATACGGATTCAAGAACTTTGGGTTTCTAGAACTGAGATTACATGTAAGAGTGACAGAGCACGCTGTTCATCAGAGCTGAGCGCTGCTTGCTCCGGCGTCAGTGTGAAGTAGGAGCGAGTGTCGAGCACAAGGCATCTTCTGTGGAAGTGATTTCTTCTGAACTCTCTGCTTCAAGTTGCTTCTATTTTCATCCACAAAACTTCATTGTTAGATTTTAATATTACATGACATTTGGAGAATAAATGCAAACTTGTGTTATTTATCAACTGATACCGCATTTTTAGCGTCTCATTTGTCCCCATTCTTTCAACTTTGTGCGTTATTTTTAGTCTATGTGCTTGCATTCATGCGTCGAAGTAGAAAATTCATCAAGAGGCATAGGGTTCATTAATGATTTTATATTTACCAGAAATTTCTGAATAATTTTGATAAATAATTCTTAAAGAATTTTTATGATTCTGGAAGAGAAAAAATAGTTATTCTTAGTAAATTGTGAAACGATTCTATGAATCACATGCATGCATTCGTTCAATTAAGTGAAACCGTTACGTTAAATAAAATATTTTTTGAGGGTTTATTGGCGGGAATATGTAGAATATATCAATCATTACCAGCAATTCATCATTGAAACGCAACGTATGTCACTGGCAAAGAATATACGTTCAGTTTATACTACGCATAAACTGAAAAAAATATCGAAGGAATTTGTCCTAAGTAATTTTATCAAGAATTGTAATTAGCATTCCTGTCAATTTATGGACTGCAAAATTTTATTTTAAAAATGCATTTATTTTTAAACCGCATTTATTTTAAACCGCATGCAGGAAAACTGGAACTGGTTTCGAACTAATAGTCAGGGAATTTTTCTCCGTTCACATTGTTAATGTACACATTTCTTCTCTAGAAATTGGTATAGTTTAATTATCAGTAATATCCATCCCGAATTTTTTTCAAGTGTGTTTATCTGATTACATTTCACTGCAATGAATTAGTGTCGATCGGCGATTAAATGCACTGACCATCACTCATCACTAAGAATCACATGTTACCATCATCAACTATCATAACTATCATCCGCATCATCCGTTATTAATACTCATTCAACGTTATTACTCTCTTATAACTAACTTACAAAACTCGCCTGTTACCATTATTGATACTCGTTAACTTTTCCTCTTTCATCACTAATCAACACCCACCAGTAATCATCACCAAATCATCCCCGAAAACTCTTCCTTTCTCATCACTAATCAAAGCTCACCAGTGATTATCACCGAATCATCAACGATAACTCTTCCTCTCTAATCACTAATCAAGACTCGCAATTTATCATCACCTAATCATCACCCAAAACTCATCCTTTCTCATCACTAATCAACACCCACCAGTTCTCATCACCAATAACTCTTCCTCTCTCATCATCAATCAACACCCACCAGTTCTCATCACCAATAACTCTTCCTCTCTCATCAATAATCAACACCCACCAGTTCTCATCACCAATAACTCTTCCTCTCTCATCACTAATCACCACCCAGTAATCACAATCATCGTCACATCACCGGGACGATGCTGACGGCGCACAAGCGCTGCCTGCTGCTCGCGCTCGTCGCGCAGCTGCACACGTCGCTCGCCGTCGGGACTTTCATCCTCGGGCGGTCGTCGGACGAGGCGACGAACGACCACCATAATGGTGCGTCATTGTGATGTGTGGTGCGTCATTGTGATGTGTGGTGCGTCATTGTGATGTGTGGTGCGTCATTGTGATGTGTGGTGCGTCAATGTGATGTGTAGTGCGTCATTATGATGTGTGGGGCGTCATTGTGATGTGTGGTGCGTCATTGTGATGTGTGGTGCGTCATTGTGATGTGTAGTGCGCGTTATAATAATTTAGGTCAATGAATGGTGATGTGTTATGTTAAAAATTTACTTCATTTATCCAGCTCTTCAAATGGTTTCTTCATTAAGTTCTTTTAGTAGATTATTACCCAGAAAACTATTATTAGCGTCTTCTTATTTTTAATCCCTTACATCTCATTCTATCGAAAACACCTTTCAATTTTATATTATTATATATAATAATTCTTAGCGATAATAATGAATATATATAATATTATTTCGCTTGATTTATCTTGATTATAAATCAAGAATCAATGGGTTTATAAAAATGATCGCAAACCCTCTACAGTATCAGCCACCACCGAGGCCGCGGAGACCTGCCAGGACGTTCAACTGATGGAGAGGTTGGCGGACATGGCGGCCTGGAGGCGGCGGGTGTTCGGCGCTGGCGATCTGGACGCCACAATACTGAGACATAACACCGCTAATCTCAGTGAGTGCAGCTAGCAGTAAGCAACATCAGTAACGCTCCTAATTGCTTTTCTAGAAATTGGTGGACTCAATCCACCCGTTTCTGAGTCCACTGATGGTTAATCTCAATCTAAAAACTCAATTTTTCTGAGTCCACTGCATGGTTAATCTCAGCGAACGCACCTTGCTTACCGCACTCAGTCAGTAAAGTGGTGATAACGATTAACGAATGACTGAGTTCATTTAATGGCCGTTATCACTGACTGTATTTAACATACCGAACTCAGTCAGTGAGATGGTGATCACCAGTCAAGAAAGACCGAAGCTTGCTTCTAATATGGGTCACTGCATGGCCTCAATCTATTTCTCAAAATGTTTTTATTGTAACTTCAATAATGAATTTTAAAATTGGCAAATAATTTTAAGCATGGTTTAATTGTTTATTTGAATTTAATGTAAGTTTTAACAAGTGTTGTCTTAAGATTCGCTTATTTATTTAATCGTATTTATTTCAAACTGGAAAATTCTTGCAAGTGCACTAAAATAACTAAGAAATAAATTCAGCAGCTTCGCCATTTGGATATACAGTAATGTTTTTTCAATGAATTTCGAGGTCATAGATAAATATTACAATAGTTGATACTTTATTTTATTTAAGCATTTTTCCATTGTGGGAAATCCTGTGCTCAGATAATTCGAGAGCGGTGTTAGCCGTTAGCAGCATTTTAATGTATATAATATTTAAATTAATTATACTTTGCGTAGGTCACAATAAATAATCTTTGATTGAATACTCACGTTGAATCCCGACATGATAGTGATTGGGGATATTCATTAGAAAAGCTTATGCCGCTATTTTTTGAACACTTCTATCAAACACTCAAACAATCTTCCACTAAAATCTTTACGATATTCAACAAAATATAATTTACGATAGTTTGATGGGTTGAGCAAGTATCTAAGCAATTAAGGCTCTTCATGGAGCTTCTTACATAAAGCTACTGAAGAGGAAGAAAGAGAAAAAATGCAGTGAGTTTTGTCATTCATTACCTATATACTTATGTCATGTTACTACCTGCCTACATCTGCTGAGCTTACAGTTTTAAAGTACAAACTGTTCACTCATGTCCCTTGCACTGCAGGTTATATTGAGCGACTGGAGCTGGTTAACCGTGTGATGGTGGACGTTCTCCTGCAAGCAATACCGGACAGGTCTTCATCCCGCAACACAACTCATGTGGAACCTCCTCTCCTGGCCCCACGAATGGCCCCAGCCTACCGACGTCGGCCTACATACGATGAGGAACTAAAACAAAACAACTCTTCAGTCTCTCCGTCACGCGACGTAGCGTTCCCCGCGAGCCCAACTTTTCGAAATGCACTTGTGGAGAATGAAGTCAACAGCTTGGGTTCAAACAGCACTGGTTTGCAGTTCACATCTCCTGTCTATCATGGAAAAAATTATTCGTCGACTGAGAGCACCCCTTATTTTGAGAAGCACACCAATCTAAGCGGTAGCCTGAGACCAAGCGTTAGTAAACCCAAAATTGTACCAATAGATACCATAACAGAAAATCCTGAAACTAAAGATCACTCCGTGCCTCGTAATCAGTCAACTGATCGTCACGATTCAACAAATCAAACAACTCCTCAACTAACCTTTCAGTTGGGGAAACAGAATTCTTCCTATTTATCTGTTTTCGGAAAATTTCCTCGCTCCTCCAGCGCACGGAATTCTTCCTCATCTGGCAACGCCTCTGCTAATGTCCTTCATTTGGAAAACACTTTGCCTGATGGCAACACAAGCTTGACCTCGGCACCCCGACTGAATAACTCTGCTTCGAGGAAAACGAATGAGGGTAAAGCGCCTGCTGATCTCTCAAGACAAAGCACGAATGTTCACATAAGATTTTCAAGAGCAGCTCATGTAAATGGCCAATCAGTACGTAATGTTGGGGATAATCAAAACGAAACTTCAGTTTCTCCAGATACTATCAAGGTTTCAGAGCAAAACACAAATGAAAATCTAAACCTTCAATCAATTTCATTTCCTTCGAATGAAATCGAAAGTCTAGGAGATACAAACGTGACCGAGCATAATAATACGAATGACAATTCATCTAACAACTGGAAGGCTGAAATCTTCATTAAAATCGGGCTTCAGTTTAGATCAAATCCTTTCGGTAGCACGCAAGCCGTACTTCCAAGGGAAAATAATTCGCCGAATAAAGACAGCGTGATCATGTTGCCAGTATTCACATCAGTACCCGAGAGACTTTTAGAATCGCAAACTTTGTCGTCCTTGTTAAATTCTTCAATTCACATTCTCAGTCGAATGAATCCTTCCCTTTCTCCTGAACATATGCAGGCCACAGTTAATCACCCTGAACTATTACTTTATTTTATCAATTCATCTATCAGCCTAACAGCGCTTGACTTTGATAATAGCAGTAAAAAAATTGACTCCTCAAACCAAATCGCAATCACCTTCGCGGATCAAAATACCTCACAAAACTCGTCTCGTCGCCCAAAATTGCTCACAAGTGACTCAATACTTCAAGAAATCAGAGACAGAAATCATAACCTGACCTTATCTTCTTCGGACGAGATATTGATGAGTAATTATTCTCGTGAGACAGCAAACCAGAATTCGACTTGTACCTTGCAAGAGCGCTGGAATAAAGTCGAACACCTACGACGGTCCATAGAGCTGCTGCTGCTCTCCATGCCAGTGACGGTAAAAGAGATGATGGAGGCGTCCTCGCATCCTTATCTCGACGACTTCATTTTCAGGCCTCAGGGTGAGAGTGGTGACTAAAATTTTTTTTCGCAGTTGACTCGATCTTTAGCGCATTTTCTCATTTATGGAAAAAATGCCCTATTTTGTGTTCGTCATGTCCGTCCGTCAGTCTGTCTGTCTGTCCGTTCGTGACTTCACGCTTTCATCGACGAGAAAATGGGCCAGAATTTTATGCGGTGGTACAAAAAAACGTTGATAATCTATTAAAGTTTGTAGATTTAAAATGCGACCCTGGCTGGCTCGGTTTCATGTGTGCTTGCAAGACTGAATTTCATGAAATTGTACAGAATAAACTGTTTGACAATGTACTAAATTTTATAGATATAAAATATTACGCATGATATTTTTAAGAAATATGTTCCACTTGTGTATTTCGAAATTTTGAATACATTTTTTATATTTTCAGCAATTTAAATTCATTATATTCTATTTGAATTTCATTAAAATACTAATTGAATAGGCTGCTGAAATTTGTGCTTCTTCGAATGTTAGATATTCATCAAAATTGCTTCCTTCAATACGAATTCATGAATGAAACTTCTTGTTGTACGCGCCATAATTCAAATCAAACTTATCATCCCGCAAAAAGCAGATTTCGCGTGAATGGCGTATTATTGAATTTTGCATCTTCGCAAATTTTCAATTTTCAGGGTAGCGAATTTTTTTTTAAATACTCATGTTATCAAACTTTCCTTGTTANTAAGGTCTTGCCCGATGATTATGTTTCCTCTCAACCACGTTTTACCTGATACTAATGTTATCTCTTGACCAGGCCTTGCTTGATATTCATGTTTTTCCTTTATCCGGTTTTAAACTGATGTTAATGTTTTCTTTTAACTAGATCTTGCTTTATATTCACGAATTCTGGATCAGTTTTGGTCTATTTTCTCTTGCCTAGATCTTGCTTTATATTTACGATTTCTGGATCAGTTTTTGGCCGATTTTCTCTTGACTAGATCTTGCTTTATATTCACGTTTTCTGAATCATTTTTTGGTCGATTTCCTCTTGACTAGATCTTGCTTTATATTCACGTTTTCTGGATCATTTTTTGGTCGATTTCCTCTTGACTAGATCTTGCTTTATATTTATGATTTCAGGACAACTTTTTGCTCGATATTCATTATTTTCCATTGATCAGGTCGCAGTATCTTCGCGATGACGGGTCAGTGTGCCGAATGCTACATGAGGGATCCTCGAGGGAAGTGTCGCGAGGTCCTCTTCTGCAAGAACGGGGCCAGCGTATCCTCTAGGATACTCGGGTAGCCGTGATATCCTTGAGGAAAGTCTTCCGAGAGTCGTTGACGTCCCACGGTGATCCTGGGGTTGAAGTCCTTGAGATCGATTTGAAGTCGATCCTTTTGAAGTCCTTGAGATCGATGTTAGATCGTGTGATAATTTGATGAACAGCAAGTTCTTCGGTGAATAAGTGAAAGATTTTGTAACTTGGAAATTTTATTTTAGGGTTATTACAGAGTTCCATATTGAAACTCATACTTTACTTAATTTTTGTGTTAAAGTTTCATGTTTAAAGTTTTCACTATAGCGATTAATTGTTATACAAACCACCCATGACGTCGACGAAAAACTTGGCACAACGAAAGAACACAGATTGTAAGCAGATATTGTTCTTGTTATAGAGAACTGAAATGCTGGACTTGTCACTTCCAATGCTTGACACCGAGAAGAGATCTCGTCGAACGAAAAATTTCTGCCGATGTGAATCCAAGTTTAAATCGATGTGAATACAAATTATGAATACTTTCATATTCATGGAAAACTGAGAATTCATCAATGAATGTGACGAGGAATTCAGCGGTTTAATTCATAGCCTACGCATTTATTGAGGCCCACTGAATATTGCACACAAAAGTTTTATATTTTATTTAGTGACTTATCAATAATTTTTCTTTGTGATAAAGAGCGAGATTATGCAGACCTTTTTGGAGGTTCTAAGCATATCACACAGAATGATTGTTCATGACCACAATCATTTGATCTTATAATTTTTCATACAATTTTCAATATCGTATTAAATGAAATAGTCATCATTGTATTATTATTATTATTATAATCATGAGAAAATTAATCTTCCACATAATCATTGGTGCTCGTCGATGTCGAATGTTTATAGAAATAAGAACTTTAGAGATAATTTCAGAAACATAACTTATTTTTGAGTAACTATAATCATGTAGTATTGGCTATTTTCTTAGCTCATAAATTAATTTGTCTCATAGACAACCGAGTTCGTTATAGAACTCGATGAATTGTAGTCTGCATACATCAATGTATAGGGAGCATACGTATGCAGTTTGTATGAGTCGTGTGTTGTGCCGGGGAGTAGACCAGCATTCACGTGGGACTCTTCAGCTAAAATTACAGTAGGTGGTGATAAGGCAAGCATAAGTTATGATGAGGCTAGCATGGGTTATGATAAGGTGAGCATTAGTTGTTATTATACGGTGAACACCAGTTATCATAAGATAAGCAAGAGTGGCGATAAGACGAGCATGAGTAGTTATTATAAGGTGAACACCAATTATCATATCATAAGATAAGCACGAGTGGCGATAAGACGAGCATGAGTTGTTATAAGGGGGGCATCAGTTTTGATATGGTAAGAACGAGCTATGATAACTTGAGCATTAGTTGTGATGAGGTTAGCACATCTGAAATTTGATTTAATTAGGTAAATTAATGGGCAAATGAACTAATTTTTTTTATTTAAGAAGTCTTTTCTCCTTTTCACTCATGAATGAGAATTACTCTTCACATATTAATATACTAGATTTCTAAACGTAATGTTTTGTGTAAACCTTATATAATCCCACAGGCATGTAAACACGGTATAATCACGCTTACTACTTTCATTAAAACCAAAAATCCGAAGTAACTTTATTATCAGCCTTAACGATTGCTTCAATAGAATTTTAATATCATTTGATCGTTCATTTAAAACGGAATTTCCAGTCAGCCAACTTTCTACGCTGATTGAATATGAACTCACGGGCAGACCAGAGAGTTTTTGTAATATTTCAGAAATCAAAGTATCAATGAGACTTAATATCGAAATTCAGTCAGAAATTCATTCATTTCCTCTACACGTTCGTAGTCTGATAAGTATAGTATACAACAATTTTCACGGTGATTCACGGAAACTTTCTGATTTGAAAATTCAATAAAAGAAAGACTAATGAAGATATCAAAACAAATAAATTTCATTACAAATTTTATTAGCTGAATTTTGAATCATTTAGTTTTGAATATGATATCGAACAAATGACGACCCCCATTATCAATGGATCCAGTTCCGATTTTTGAAGTTCCGTTCAACTCGCTAAAGCATATTAATGGGTATGTTGGCGTTGGCTTGGAGTATGGTTTTTCGTCAAATGAGGTAGGGTCCTTGGACAGTCATTGTAAACAATCGATTTAAGATAACTTACCCTAAATGTGTATACCCACGTAAAAATCGATTTACGACCAGGAACCCGACCGAAGGACTAATACGGAACCGAGTACGGAATGCTCGTTGAGTAGCGATAATGGAACGGGCATTAGAAAGTACGCCTCGACATCAAACGCACGCTGTTCACTTATCCAATGCATAATGGCACCTGACTAGGCAAGACACAAAACTTCATGCCCTTGCCTTTCATATGAAATACTTCCCGCTTTTTTCCTACAACATCGGGCTGTCCGTAAGCTGCTAGGGCAGCTAGGCATTCCCAGTCTAAACATATACCCATTAATGTTAAATCAGAAAATGTATCAAACGTCAGGAGGATGTAAAGATCAATTTAATACAATTTTTGACAATGGATCATATTCATATACCGAATACAGTGAGCTACAAAAACCATGCGGTATGACTGCAGATATAATGATAGTTTACCCTTCAAAAAATTTTTTATGAATCGTTATTATACCAGGGTTAACTAAAATATCATTTGTCTGTCCGAAATTCTGAAAAAACTGTAACTAAAATTAACATTCAACTTAACAGTAACCCCTACAATGCTACAAGTAAAAGAAATTTTCATCAATATAGATCTATCATGTATCATTATTTAATCATTATGGAATAAATTTTCAACTATCGATTTGTATATCGTTCCTAAATATTTTTCATTAACAAAACATAACATAGTGATGTCGGCGCTGAAGTGTAGGCCTGATGTGGCCTGTCACCGATTCTTGAACTTTTCCTGACCTGTTCACAGAAGATCTAAAATCGTGTTATTTGACCGAATCTTTTCAGGACAGATGATAGTTTGAAATAGCTACTAGACTTCCAGTCTTCCACCGGGTTCGATATTGTGCTAGGTATTTCAAGTCTGAACATATATTTTTCCATTGCTTTATCTAGTCTGTTCTTGAATGCGTTCATACTTGGAGCGCCAACGATGTCATCGGGGAGGCTGTTCCACATATCGGTTATTCAAAGCGAGAAGAAATGTTGTCGCGTGGATAAGTTGCGGATCAATTTTTTTAATTTATAGCCGTGGCCCCTGGTGTTATTTCTTGTTTTAAATTCTAGTAATTCTTTGCATGTCTTTTGAACATTCTCTATTAAATTTCTGTCCTTTTCAAATCTCAGTGACGGCACGTTTCCAAACTCTACATTCGAGCGCACGACGGCAACAAACAATTCCTTCATCGCTTATGAAACTAGGAACTCGTAAGAGCGTCTGATTAGTCCAAGAAGTTTGTTGTATGTATTAGCTTGCGTTTCAACATGCTTAGAAAATTTCAGCTCCTTGTCGACATAAACTCCGAGATCTTTATGTCATCGGCATACATGGAGCACACGCTGGACACTACTTCTGGCAGATAGTTTATAGAAGCAACGAACAAAATAGACAAAATAGACCCAAGAACGCTTCCTTGTGGCACGCCACTGCGCACTGATGCCCAGTCTGACACTGTTCCGTTAATGCTGACACGTTGTCGTCTACCTACTAGAAAATCTCTGATCCTTTGGAGTACATTTCCCTCTATTCCCAAAGACTTTACGCAACAGCCGTTCTTGCGGAACACTGTCAAATGCTTTGGCAAAATCGAGGTACAATGCATCCACTGGCTCCCTTTCGTCCAGCAGGTGAGTCCAATCGTTCAACGTAGGTCGTAGATAATAAGTTAGTGGTGCAGGATCTGCCGGCAATAAAACCATGTTGACAATCTGATATGAGATGGTGAACAGTCAAGTGAACAGTCAATCCTATCCCTAACAACAGATTCCATTAGCTTACAAAAAACACTTGTCAGACTGACAGGGCGATAGTTACCGGGGCTACTTGTCTCACCTTTTTTGAACAATGGTGTTACTTGAGCTTTTTTTCAATCGGTCGGCAAAGTTCCTTCGTTTAGGGTTTTTTGAAATAATACTGTCAATTAGCCGGCCAGGACGGTTGCTAATTATTTGAGCAATCTACTGTGAAAGCCGTCTGGTCCACATGACTTGTTGGGATTAAGGGTGACCATGCGCTGGAGAACCTTTACTTTGTGCATTTCAAAACTTGTTAATTTCGAGCCGACTGGGCGCTCCTCAATAGCTGGAATGCTGCCCAAGTCCTCATCTGTGAACACACTGCTAAAGAATTGATTGAGCAAGTTAGCCTTACCTTCATCAGAGGATATCTACCGTTGGTCTACATCAGTGGTTCCCAAAGCGGGCGATATCGCCCCCTAGGGGCGGTGGAAAGATTTTGGGGGGCGGTACGGACAAAGAGTGAGGGAGGGGGGCAATAGGGGGGCGGTAGTCCAAAGTCAGTGTCAGAAGCTCGAACGTTTGTTTGGCGATTTGTATACAATACGTGCAGCACATGACTCCCAGCGATGGTTTTTTCACCCACATCTGTCTTTTTAACCTCTCCTGGGTTTACGTCTCGGACAAATTAACGGACAAATTTTGTCATCGTTTGTTTTTGTCATAGTTATATGGCAATACGGGCCGAAATTCCCAGTGATCAAGTAATTTCTTCCAAACTACTGAACAGATTCGAACGAAATTTTGAATTTACAGTCCTAACTTCGAACGGTAATGTTTAGCTCGTGAAAATTTTTTCGATTGTGCCTTCGTTCGCGAGTTTTTTTTTTCATTTCACCTTAATTTGTGATTTAAATAGCAATGCGTGCTTAAATTCGCAGTAACCAATAATTTTTTTCCAAACTACTGAACAGATTTGAACGAAACTTAGTATTTGCATACCTCACCTCAGCAACAGTATAGTGTTTACAATTTTTTCGATTGACCATCGTTTGCGAGTTATACGGCTATACGTATAAGGCTCTTGGTTAAACCGGCCGGTAGAAAAGCCGGTCGTTCCTCCTATGTCTGTATAACTCGCGAATGAAAGCAAAATAGAAATGTCACGAGCTAAACATAACCGTTGAGAGGTTAAGTATTAATAAACAAAGTTTCGTTGAAATCTGTTCTTTAGTTTAGAAGAAGTTTCATGATCGCCGCGAATTTGAGTGATAAATTACCCGTCGATACGGGCCTAATACGTATAAGGAAGTGTGAAATCAAGAATGACGGTGAAATGAAAAAACTCGCAAGCGAAGGTAAAATCGAAAAAATTATAAGCTAAAAAATCGCTGTTTGGTAGTTAGGAATGTGTTTTCAAAATTTCGTTCAAATCTGTTCAATAGTTTGAAAGAAATTCGTTACTGCGAATTTCGGCCTGTTTCGCAATATACGCGTAACTCACGAATGAAGGTGAAATTTAAAAAAAAATACCAGCTAAACATCACCGTTCGGTTCTGATGAACACGTGTTCCAAGTTTCATAGGGCTGCGTTCATTATAGTTTGGGAGATATTGCTTGATAATTGAATTTGGAGATTGGTCGTGAGACCGGCCACGAGTCCGGCCGTAAATTCGCCCACGACGTCCTAGCTTTCTAGTGCTGAAACAGTTAAAACAGCTGAAAAACATATTGGTTCACTATATGGGGTTATATTTGTGAAATACACATTTGTGTTTAACCTTTATCTTTTAAAATTGCAGCGTACTAAATTTCAAGAAAGAGGCGTATGTCTGTGGGGGGGCGCTAGAAATTCAATAGGGAGCCAAAGGGGGCGACAGCCTGAAAAAGTTTGGGAACCACTGGTCTACATCTTTCAAATCAGAGATTCCGTTGTTTGTCCTATACACTTCGAACTAGCGCAAAAAAAGTAGGCTTGCGGGTTCTTTTTCGCATTTTTGGCAATATTTCTTTCATAGTTTTTTATTGCAGCTTTACAGAATTTTTTAGTTTGATTTCGAGCTCTCGCATACAGGTTATAATCAGCATCGCTGCGAGTTCGTAAATAACGCCTGTAGGCTTCCTTCTTGGTCTTTATAGCTGAGCTATAACTGTACTGTTCATCCACTTAAGATTAAAATGTCTCCGAAAAACGACAAATGAGGACTTACAAATGAGAGATCTCAAGTTGAGATAACTAATAAATATTAGCGATATAAATAAAAATTAGACTCCAACTTCATCTTCTTTAAACAACATCGGTCGGTAGTAACTATTTAGTTCAACAAATTTAAACTCTATAATTCCGTTCATCGCATTTAATTCCATAACTCGACTACCGTAATAAATATGAATCACCTACACATTCACTGATACTACTCACAATGCAAAATCGTCAATTGTTTAACTCTGTCGACATGAAGAATGCTATTATTGACATGTGAAACTCGAACTACACTTCTATTTTCTTTAATGATTTTAGATAGTTTAATACAACCCTGAACATCTATAATTCCGGGTCTGCAACTTTTTTTAAGCCTTCAACTAGTTTTTACTAATGGGTTCCCTATCTTCTCAGCTACGAGGTGTGTTCTCGATACCGTTTTGACATGAAAAAAGTAAATTTTATACAAACATAATTTATTCACTTGACAGGCCATTATACCTTGCTCCATTTCTCAGCATAATACTCAATAACCAAATAATTGTGAGGCATATATTGGCATAATTTAAAAACGGCACTTAGTCGAAAACATACGCTTCGTTCATATGACCATCTCGTTTGACCCTTCAATTTGACCTGATATTTATCTAATTAAAGACAGATAAAAATCTCCTATCCACAGAGAGATGTGAGTTCCGTTTGATGATCGAACACACCTATTCGACACTTTTACGAACTCGCCTGCGCCCTCGAACGCAAAACCTAACTTATGCGCATTGGTAATACCTACTTATGTTCCAATTATGAATGAAATCCGTTCAGTATTGTAGGAGTTATGACAGTACGAGTTAAGCGTTAAGTTTTTGTTTGAGTGTGCAGGCGAGTTCGTAAAAGAGTCGAATAGGTATCGAACACGGAGAGCAAGTAGTTGTCAGTCGTCTGGAAACCGCGGTTGAGTGCGCAGTCAATGGTCCAAGAAATTTTAGCACTACAATATCGCTGTGTTTTTCGAGCAATGAGAATGAATTAAAATTGTTGCAATCTTTCGAATATTTTCGTTTTTTTACATGTATGCATTAATTTTAGCTAAGTATTATTTCACATGCAGTAAGACATATTTAGGGTATACTAATTTCATTGCTTCTAAAAATTATTTTAAATGTGGCAGATGCAAACCACTAAGACGATATTTAACTATTCGCATCTCCAGAAAAAATCTCTGCAAGACCGACAAGTGTTCCAGTAAAGACTGGTATTTTCGATAAAATCCAATGAACCAAAAATTGTCAGCAAGCAATTTTTTTATTAAACTTTTGTGTGCTCTACTTGTATCAATCATTTTATGCAAGTTGGGAAATTATGTGAATTTGTTTAAAAAATTTCCTAAGTGACAAAACTCTCTTTTGACTTCGCAACAATCTTCGTAAAAGTAGGATTAAAACTCCAAATCTGCTTTGTAATAATGTTAAGTTATCTTTGAAATTATCTGTAAATAATAAGTGCATGTTGCAGATGTAATATTAAACTGACATTCATATATTTATTTATTTATTTATTTACTGAAGAAAAGTGGTTGCCCCGATGGCTCGAGAAGAAGCTCCACATTGAATTTAAAAAAAATTATATATACGATCATACATGCATATTCATAAATATACATACACACACATATACATTGACACATATATGAGCAACATATATTATTCCGAATAAGCAACAATAAAACTCTATAGACGATCAAGTCAACACGTGGCCCATATTGCGTTTTTTTCTGCTAATAATAACGGGCGGGTCCGGTTTTTTTCAACGCAGTTTAGCATCAGCGTCCACCTCAAGCTCAGTCGGTTACAAGCACTCCACTGAACCATAACCCACTTAAAGAATGCTGAGTTCTGAAAATAAAAGGGACGTCGATATTTAAGTATTTGCAACAGAAGTCTAACGTATTTCTGCGACGTAACTCTTTAACGTATTTTTGATTAAGCCTTTTCCAGCTATTTCATCATAACTTTAAGAGAAGAGCCAGTTTCAAACTGTGGTAAATTCGAGTATTGCGTGGTAAAATGCATAGATTTTATTTTAAATATTCATAATTCATATTATGATTAACTTCATTACAGAAAAATAATTCAATAGCTGAAATTCCAGGAAGTTTATAAGTTTTTACTCATTTTACTACCTTTTTTTCTTTTTAACCACCTAAAGGCTGAAGGCAGCAGTACATAGTTTTCAGTGTCCATTCAACTAAAAAATTATGCTTGGACCTTACAAGTTGAAATCCCCTGTCTGCGTCTGGCTCTTGGCCGCAATGGTAACAACGCTGTTGCTAGTCATTTTTTGGTTTGACCACAGGCATACCGAGTAAGTGTTGGTGATGTAAAATTTTTCATTATACCAGGAGAATATTGGTGCTGTTTCGGTAAAAAGTATATTTATACATTGAAATTAACAATGAAAGCTCAAAATTATTTGTAAAATTTCTACTGTTTCAAGATTTTGTTGCTATTTTTTATTGAGAATTTTTATTAAATTTTAGTATCACCATGAGAGGTTGTTCGAATTGCAATGCATAACTTCAACTTTTGTTTACAGCTCCGGCGACAATTTCGCATCATCGTTTCCAGTTCTAATGGGAGGTAAGAACAATAAATGACTGAACATTCCTCACAAGACTGAGTGTCAAATTGTAGTACAATAATATATTCAACTGATAGTTATTTGTTAATTACTGTTGATATCAAAATTACTAAGATTAACTTGTCTCTTAAACCAATAGTTTTTCCTGAATTCAGGTCAAAGGAGAACGTCACGTGAGCAGATAAAAATTATCAACCAAAACTCATTAGTCGGACAGGGAACAACAGCGAATGCAACTAGTGGAACTGGCAATGAATTAAGTGCAGAAATAAACCACTCACTAATGAGCCCGAGCTGGACCGAGTTCTACAACTTAATTGAAGAGACAACGAGTTTTTGTGAGCTGGTGAGGCACGGCGCTGTTAATGTTTAACGGGCATACAGTATCTGTGATCGTAGAATTTAGATAAGAAATATTCTGATTCAGCAAGTCTTTTTCTATGATTTGGAACATATATAATTTCTTTATCCAATTCTGTATTTCCTTACTGCAACTAATACCTGTCATGCACTCTTCAAACTTACGAAAACTTGTTAAATTTTGAAGTGAAATTCTCCAGGAGATTTTTTACCATTGTATGAACTTTAATGAACGCCTAACTTTTTGCTGACAATGGGCAGAAAAAGTTCGGCGGATTCGAACGTACGGACATGACCGGCATCGACGGAACCAAGCTCGTGTGCCTGGATGCAGGCGTCGCCCCCGAGCCGGGCTCGTGCGTCGTGCTCTCCTTCGGCGTCAACGACGAGTGGAGCTTCGACGACGCCATGGAGATCATTTCTCCCCTAGGAATTTTTGGATCACTAAGAATTTGTGGCGAGCAACCAATGTTCGGTTTTTAACACGTTGATTCAATAATAGTTTCGACGAATACATGAGAATCCTCACTCATTTACTAAGTACATTTGAATTAACGAAGAGGCGATATCATCTTGTAATGTTTGTAATGCAGAATCTTATGTCACTGAGTACTTGTGAGCAGGAAATATCTCATTCCACGAACCAATTTTTGCATCACTGGCATGGGCAGACGTGCTTCATGAGGTTTTCACGATCCAGAAGTCAGTTGAAACGTGTTATATTCTGCTGTTGAATCGCAGTTTTAGATTCAAAACTAAAGTATATATGAATTTAAATATTTTTTTTTCAACAGGTTTACTCGTTCGACCCGACGATGAACAAACCCGCGCATCTGAGAGGCAAAAACGTTCATTTCCTCCCGCTGGGTCTGGGAGGCAGCGCTCGCAACGTCACCTTTGATGGAAGCCACTTCCAGGTTATGTGTTATTTTCCAGCGCATTTTGATTGTTATTGAAGTAATAAATTTATTGTTTAGGAAGTTAGGCCCTTAGTACCGTCTATGTTATTGAAGCGAAGTTGTGTACAATGACCGCGACTGACGTTCACATTATGTTAATTGCGTTTTTTCGTTAATTAATTTTAGATTTTCTACGTTTCTATAATTTTTTAGCATTGCATTCAAAACTCTAAAAAAATTTAGCTCCCGTTTGTCCTCTGTGAAATGTTCTAGTATTTAGTGCTGAGATGAATATTAGTGAACTTGAATTCATCTCAGCTCTAAAGTGAGCTTAAATATATACATTCTTGAGTTCACGTCCATTTATAAGACCTTCAACATATTTCAACACTTTTCAACAGATACTCGCTTATCAGTTACAAAATTCGTTCAGAAACTTTTTTAACTAGTGTAAATATTCTAATAATTGTGCTTTCCTGCAGGTTTTTCCATATAAAAATATTTTAGACAGAATCGAAAAGACCGATCGAGTTATCGACTACCTGAAGATGGACATTGAAGGCTTCGAGCTGGAATTCCTCGACAACGTCTTGAACGACGACGTCGAACTGCTCTCTAACATCAAGCAGATTGGCATGGAGGTCCACCCAGGTGCATTATTAATAGAATATTGAAAAGTTTAAAAGCGCAATGGGCACATACGATAGATAAAATGATATTAATTATTTGCCACCAATAACAGGATGACCGAATATGCGTCCATAAAAAATACAATATGAATTTTTTTCAGAAGAATTTGGTGTATTATTTTTAAAAAACAATTTCCTATTATTCCCGACGTTTTTACTAACTTTGCTAGAATACACGTAAAGAATCCTGCACTCTACACGCAGACCGACGGGCGTCCCGAAGAGACAGGCTGTGGCGCCATATGCACCGGCTGCGCGAGCTGCAGTTTTCGCTGGTCTCGAGTGAACCAAATTTGCTGGCCCTCAACAAGTTTTATTATGGAGAGAAAGAAGCGTCATGTTGCTACGAGGTCCTCTGGATTAACAATAAATTTAAAACTAAATAATATCGTGTAATAGGATTCTAATCATATCATATGTTATATCAATAGGATTCTAATCATATCATATGTGTAATAGGATTCTAATCATATGTTAGGTAAGTCAATAATATTAATTCCCGTGTTTGGCCCTTAATTATTTTCCCGACGCAGTACGAGAAGCTAAAGGGTACGGCGAAAAAACTCTAAAGCGACAGTAGAAATTAATCCCTTTCATATTCAACTTGCTACATCAAGAGAGATGATAATTGTATGATATTAACTTTCTTGCAGGTCATTAACATTTGATTGATGCAACTCAGAAAAATTTAGGAATTTATAATGATCTGGAAACAGTCGTCAGGAAATTCCTAGAGTAAAACTGTAAATATTGCTTGTTATTCAATTAGGTCCTCAATATTTGAAACATATTTATAAGGGAGCTTCCCATGCATTTGAAAACTTTATATTTAGAAGTTGAAACCTCTCGATATTGTAATATACACAAGTGTAATTCGGCCATCGCCATAATTACACTGCACAAATATCCGTGTGGCATCTCTTCGAACAAACTATATTTCAATTAAATTTCATAGCCTGGACATATACAACGTAGAGCGAAACGCATCGTATATTTTAGATTCGGATTCTATCGAAAAATTCTAGAGCCCACCAATTTTAAGAAAGTAGGCATGGGTAGGCAAGCACCTATCAAAATAGAATTAAAGGGAAGTATTGAACAAAAGCGACATACTTTTAATGTACTCTGGGATGAAGGGATCTGCTTATGTATATATGAAGGGTAACTAAAAAAAAACATAAAATATTACAACCTATTTATTGATTCAGAATATTTTTAATCAAATTTGACCATAAATTGAAGTTACATATTGTGACTTTCATCAAAAGCCAAAAAAGTATAACTCAATTTGCCAGTAACGTGTACAGAAGTATATGCGGAGCGATAAACAATATATTTTCCCTCCTCCTTCGACATTATTCATGATTTTGATTCCTATTGGAAGATCTTGTAATTCCAAAAAATTTCTAATCATTATTGCACATGTTTGTCTCTTTTTTCCTTATTTTTTCGTTCTGTTAGTTTCTATTAATATACGCCAACAAAAAGAAAATATAACTCAGTACTCACTGCAGTGAGAGACAGAGAGCGCATTTTATCGTCGACGAAAACTTGGTCACGGACGGGCAGACAGACGGACAGGCAGACAGACAGACAGACAGACAGACAGATAGACGGACGGACAGACGGACATGACGAGCACAATAGCGCCTTTTTTGCATAAATGAGAAAATGCGCTAAAAATGTACATGTCACGGCAATTCATTCAGGGCGCATGTATCATAAACGTTATGATCACCCCAAGTGGCTGTGCACAACAGGGGGTCAAATTGAAAATTCGGGAATGACTTTAAATTTATTATGATGAAATGAAAATTTCATTTGAATCTTCAAATTAAATCAAATGCTCCCATTCAAAAAATTGTAATGTGGATCCGTGTTTGAAAGTGTCATTCACTTTTCAACGCGATTTATCTTAAAATTTCATGAATGACGACGGAATTATTCCCCCATCAGTCATACAGTTTCATTCAAGTTCGATTAGTAGCTTACGTATTAATAGTAGGCTTGTCGGGCTCAGGTCTGGAAAAATTTCTGGAACAAAGAAATTACCAAGATATTAGGGCGGTTACCAAAACTTGATATTTTAAATTTTCGTGAATTCAGTACGTGAAATACGTGTATTAGATCTATTGCTCCAAAATTTCGAATTCAATTTTAATTCGTATTAGGCGGTACACAATTTAAAATATCCTGAGATGGAGACCAAGATTAATAAATATGCAGAACTCCGTCAAAGGGAAAGCTCCTCTTCTGCTGTGCATTCCTAAAATGAAACTAAATCTTAACTTCAGGCAAATATGAATCACAGACAATACAGAATAATAATAGGAAACAAATCAACATGTATGCCAACGTGACCTTGCGTATAATGTACTAGAACCTTTTTTGACGGATTGCATCTGTTATATTCCCTCCTAAATCGACATTATGCATGAATTTGAATCCTATTATAGAAGTAATTGAAATTGCGAAAAATTTATAACCATCATTATACTTTTTGCCTCTTTTTAGCGCATTTTCTCATTTATGGAAAAAAGGCGCTACTGTGCTCGTCGTGTCCGTCCGTCTGTCTGTCCGTCTGTCTGTCTGTCCGTCAGTCTGTCTGTCCGTCAGTCTGTCTGTCCGTCCATCCGTCCAAGACCACGTTTTCGTCGACGAGAAAATCCGCTCTCTGTCCCTCACTGCAGTGAATACTGAGCTATATTTTTTCGTTATTAGCGCATTTTTACATTTATGGTAAAAATGCACTATTGTGCTCGCCATGTCCGTCTGTCCGTCTGCCTGTCCGTCTATCCGTCTGTCTGTCCCACCGTAACTTCACGTTTTCGTCGACGAGAAAATGCGTTCTCTGTCACTCACTGCAGTGAGTACTGAGTTATATATTTTTTTGAGTACGGTTATTTTCGATCAAATACGCGCCAGCAAGGCGGTAAAAATGCCCATGTGCATTTATTCTGGGCGCGTGCTTCTTAAACGTTACGATCACCCCATAGGCTGTGCACAACAGGGGTCAAAATTGAATAATATGCGTTTAAAAAGTACTTTTTAAAAACCACACTTCTAAAAAGGCCGGTGTTTCCTATGTTACACATATACAATGAATTTCTTATTTTATTTTTAAGTTTAAATAAAATTTTTAATTAAAAAAATTTCGGACAGACGGACATGACGAGCACAATAGCGCCTTTTTTGCATAAATGAGAAAATGCGCTAAAAATGTACATGTCACGGCAATTCATTCAGGGCGCATGTATCATAAACGTTATGATCACCCCAAGTGGCTGTGCACAACAGGGGGTCAAATTGAAAATTCGGGAATGACTTTAAATTTATTATGATGAAATGAAAATTTCATTTGAATCTTCAAATTAAATCAAATGCTCCCATTCAAAAAATTGTAATGTGGATCCGTGTTTGAAAGTGTCATTCACTTTTCAACGCGATTTATCTTAAAATTTCATGAATGACGACGGAATTATTCCCCCATCAGTCATACAGTTTCATTCAAGTTCGATTAGTAGCTTACGTATTAATAGTAGGCTTGTCGGGCTCAGGTCTGGAAAAATTTCTGGAACAAAGAAATTACCAAGATATTAGGGCGGTAAAACTGACTTGATATTTCATATTTTCGTGAATTCAGTACGTGAAATACGTGTATTAGATCTATTGCTCCAAAATTTCGAATTCAATTTTAATTCGTATTAGGCGGTACACAATTTAAAATATCCTGAGATGGAGACCAAGATTAATAAATATGCAGAACTCCGTCAAAGGGAAAGCTCCTCTTCTGCTGTGCATTCCTAAAATGAAACTAAATCTTAACTTCAGGCAAATATGAATCACAGACAATACAGAATAATAATAGGAAACAAATCCTTAATTCGACAAGTATGCCAACGTTACTTTGCGAATAATGTACTTGAACGTTTTTTTGACGGATTGCATCTGTTATAAAGTTTGTATATGCTATAAGCGTAAGGCCTTTAACTGTAAGTGATCGAATTTACTCGAGATGTGTATTGACATTTTAAGCATGAAAAAAGAACTTGGTAACTGAAAACATTCTGCCCTCTAAATTGCATAGCACGTTTAGTAACCGATACAGTTACTAATATACGGTATACCATATCTCCCATGCACTAAATCGTTGTTTACGCGCTCTCAATCCGGAAGTTAGATTCTGGAAAAAAACTTCCCAAAATTTCCTTTCAATGTGTATTTTAGCTATTAAAATAAACTTATTTTTTGAAGTTCCAGCTCTGCAATTGTAAGTGAACGTGATGAATGCGGGGTGCATAAAATGCAAAGCAAAATATGAAAGAAAATTTATGAAGGGTATAGCACCGAAAATTAATTAAAGGTAAGCACCGTAATTAATGACGCAGATTCATTCGCACCAAAATAACGATTGCGTGTGAATTGGTGAATGACTGGCATATATTTGACACTATCATCAAACATGCACATGAAAAGTTAATTTTAGAAGTAACCATTTTTATATAAGAACAAAAAATCTCGGGTTAAGCACATCGCATACTTCGCGATCAATGATAATTTGTTGGTCCACATTTTTATCAGATTAGTAATATAAGTCAAACGTACTTAATGTGCATTTAATGCTGATAAAAAACTAGTTAATGCTTTTTTGGGGGATTCTATTGCAAGTGTTCGGTATCAAGGAGCTGTACTTTCCTTTGCCATCCTAAGAAAAAAATTACGACTGAGAATTTCCGCGATGGTTTATGACGTGGCATTTTTTTCGCGACCGATAATTCCCCCGGCCGACCGGGAGCTTCCAGCACAACCCATCATCGTCCGGAAAGTGCATCATTATTTTTATTTAATACGATGAAGTCGTGGCGGCTGGTGCTTGTCAGACGCAACGGAGCGTTCATTCAGTGGTCAAGTTGGCTATAAAATTAGTGACCTGTGTGTTGTTAGCTGTGAAATAAGATAAATAATAATTAGCTGCTTACAAGTCCAATTTTACTACCATATTTATCACGATCAACATTTTTAAACAGCGAAATGCATAGAGAACGATAGATGTTGTTCATTTTAATACTGAGTTACTGATGACAACGTCATAAATGATATGACATTTATTATCTGTCGGCCACTCTATGATATCATAGAAAAAATATTTTATTATTCCACTATATAGTTTAGAATTTTCAAACTGAGACAATTTGTCAAAATTACACTTTATATGAATACAAATGAACAAAATGATCCCTGTTAGGAAGGTCAATGCTAAATTCGTATTTTGACAGGCAATTGCTCCATTTGTGTGTGTCCACTCGCTGTTTGAAATACGGTAAATTCGAGCACCATTCAATTTAGAATAAAAATTTACTCTGCTCCTATTCATAGCTTACTGAACGGTGATTAGAGGCTACTTACATTTTGAAATACCACTGAAGGAATTTTATTCGTATGCGATAGAAAATTTTTCAAATTGCGTGAATGGTTCTCATCATAATTAGACTAAATAAGTCCATTAGTGACGTGTAAGGGGTTTTTCAAGTATCTAGAGTACAGAAATACAACAGTTTTCCTTCACAAAATTATTTCCGGGTATTGTGCTAACTAATGTGCAAATTTTCGAATATGCGTAACAGGGTTTTTACAGAACATTTTTATATAGCTTTGGGAATTTAATTCAAATCCGTGTCGACATCAAAGCCTGCATGACAAAACTTTCCCATGCCTTGCCGTATGTTTCCTTTCGTATTATCTGTAGATTATAATTCTAATGGTTTATGAGAGTTACTTTCTCTAAAAATTGTTCAATAAATAACTCCATGTAGTAACGTAAACAAGTTATTAAAAATACTACAATTTCCTAGGCTGATGTATCTCCTTTATGGTGAACATAAGGAATCGAAAAATTTGACCGTGACATTCACTAGTATGTAGGCAGTTTTTTTTTGTACAATGATTGTACAGTTTCCCCTATAAGCTTCACCTCTCTATCTTTCTTCTTCTTGTAAATAATAGTAGGGTTTTTATTGAAAATCATGCTTGAACCTCTTAAAATAAAATATCCTGCCTGGATTTGGGTGGTTACAGCTGTCGTGACTCTAACACTAATCTTGACGAAGATTCACTACAATCAAGGACGGTGAGTTGGACGATGTCAAAGATTTTTATTCGTTTTTTTTTTTCGCTAGAACCTATACCAGTCGTTCGTTGAAGACTTTTTCCATATATTGAAATTTACTAATATATTTTAATCTATTGCTAAGGTAATATTGGTGCTTAAGTAAAAACGAAAATATTTTGTTGATGGTTTACTTTGTTTTACATTTGTACTTTTCATTTTATCATAAGACATGACATAAGACATGTACTTTCATTTTATCATATGACATGACATCATACAATTTTGCATTACCTGAATTTCTTCCAGCTGCAACCATAATAATCTCTCGCCATAGTTTTCACTTCTCACTTGTGCATATTGAAATAGATAAATTTAATCGATGCATATCTTGTTTTACTGGATTCTTCTCTCTATAGAATATACCGCGAACGACCACTTATTCAGAAGCTTAGAAGCGTCCAAGAAAGCTTATTCATCTTGCGCCCCAGTCTGATAACGGCAGAGAACGCGACTGCTGGAACTGGTGGGAATTCAACTTCAGAGGAAAATAGTTCTCAAATGAGCCCTAGCTGGGATGAGTTCTATAGCTTTATTGAAGAGACATCGGAGTCTTGTCAGTTGGTGAGTTGCAGAAAACGTATTGTTTACCAGTCAAATTTGTACTTGTTATTTCGTCGTTTCCCGTCATGCTCGTGTTAAAAATTTGAACAATATAACGGATTAGTTTAATAATTTAGAACGAATAGATCCCTTAACGACAAGGACTGCGCAAAGAGCTGCACGAACCGTAGGGTCTTCGTAAAACATCAGACGTGTGTGCGAAGAAATTTGAGCGAGCTATCGATGTTCATGCAGCATATGACATGACATTGCTTGTGACACATGTTCGCTTTTAGCGCATTTTCTCATTTATGGAGAATATGCGCTATTTTGCTCGTCATGTCCGTCCGTCCGTCCGTCCGTCCCGGACCGTCCGTGACTTGCGCTCTCTGAGAAAATGCGCTCTCTGTCACTCACTGCAGTGAGTACTGATCTATTTTTTTAGGTCTGCACTGTTCGATCTCCTCTTCTTGGAGTCCCGGGTCTTAAAGGAGCAGTTCTTCAAAGTCCCAAACCAAATTCCTCTTAACGTGTCAAACTTCAAAACATGGCCGTGACGGCCAATAACTCCGAAAATGTCCATGCAAGCGTTTCAATGCCAGAACGGCAATTTTCAGTTAACGTGTTGCACGATTATACACGACGCTCTTTTGACAAACTCTTCATTTTAGCTAAAATTTCGCTCATGTTGAATAGTTCCTCAACCTTTTGTTCCATAAGGGCATTCATATGGAGGGCCGCTCAAATCATAAAAATTTGGCAGCCTCAACTTGTATTTCGTTCCGTTTACAAAGTGTGACGTTCGCTGCACGCGGACACGTTTTCGCAAATGACCTTTCTTGTGTCCTGAGCGTCACAGAATTTCGTAAATTTACATGGCTGCGAGGTCAGTGACGCCATGGAGGGCTACGGCTGCGAGGTCAGTGACGCCATGGAGGAGTACGGCTGCGAGGTCAGTGACGTCATGGTGGACTATGGCTGCGAGGTCAGTTGCACCATGAAGGCCTAAGGCTGTAAGGTTAGGGACGCCATGGAGGCCTACGGCTGTGAGGTTAGTGACGCCATGGAGGACTACGGCTGCTAAGTCTTCACATCAATTAACAGAAACATATGCTAGTGTAAACCTTCTTTTTCTTGTCATCTGTTGTTGGAGGAATAACCACAGCAACCGCGATTTTTCCCACAACGCGTAAATCAGCTGATTTAAATTCAATATACGAAATATACAACTAACTTCGATCACAAAAGCTACAAGTAGTGCGTGCATAAAAGAAAATGATTGCCGATTTCGTCACAAGGTTTACTCGTTCGACCCGACGATGAACCAACCCGCGCATCTGAGAGGCAAAAACGTTCATTTCCTGCCGCTGGGTCTGGGAGGCAGCGCCCGCAACGTCAGTTACTATCGAAAACACTTCCAGGTTAGTAATAGATACATAGAAAACATTTCTATGAAATAGAAATAGAAATATACACAGAAAAGATTAGATACAAGGTACATAGAAAACATTAGATACAAGATACATAGAAAATACATAGAAAACATTTCAAACCCTCCAGGTTGAGTATTATCTTTGAGCATAACGACGAGCCCACGTTTTTAGTAATGTGTAGGTAGTGCAGGAAATTATTCTAGTACTAAGAAGAGCGAACTTGCAGTTAGCCTCTTATTATTTAGAGGTGTTTTAGTTCATATATCAAAAATAGCGTGTTATCCTTGGATTGTTTCAATAATATTATTGAGAAGTAATTTGCATTTTGATATTAAAATTGTATCATTTTGTATTGTTTCTGCGTGCACATTTGCACGCTAAATTTTCCTCTGAACTCCACTGATCGATCTAAGATATTTCAATTATTTGAGATATTTTCGTTATTTTATGCCTTCCTACAGGTTTTTCCGTATCGAACTATATTAGACAGAATCGAGAAAACAGATCGAGTTATTGACTACCTGAAGATGGACATTGAAGGATTCGAGCTGGAATTTTTCGACAACGTCTTGAACGACGACGTCGAACTGCTCTCTAACGTCAAGCAAATTGGCATGGAGATCCACCCGAGTACATTCATACACACTAGCATACTAAAAAATTGATTGTATTTTAAGATTGTAGTTAAATTTTATAATGAACGCATTTAATGCCAGAAAATAATAAATTATAGCTTACCCATCAACGACTGAATCAAAGATCCCTCACCATATCACGTAGACTAATTATTGCGCTGTTCAATTTCACTGAATCTCAAAATTTTTGTTCACAAACAAGAAATCTTCATGTAAATCCAATGATATATTAAATAATATTTTTGAATTTAGTCAAATCATGCAATACATCGTAAAATTTATCCCCGTCTCTCGCAGAGCACTGGACATCACTGCGTGACACGCTGTGGCGGCATCTGATGAGGCTGGGCGAGCTGGAGTTCTCACTGGTCTCAGGTGCACCGAATTTGGTGGGAAGTAATAAATTTTATTATGGAGAGAGACTGGCGTCTTGTTGCTACGAGGTACTTTGGATTAACAACAAATTTAGGAGAAAATAACACCGAATATTTTTGTAAAGTTTTGCTATAGAATTGAGGCATGTCAAATATTATTGGCTGGATGCCTTCAAAAGTAAAAACAGCGTAGATCGCTTCACATTTCTAAACCTTAGCAGTTTATCCTTTTTGAAAGTTTTTAGATGCTTCAAAATTTTGTATTTAGGAAAGAAAACTATGTAGATTTAAGCATGAAACAATGCAACAAACTTTGGCGTGGAATATCAATTATTTATTTTGTAATCTTTGCGTTTTCAAGGGTTAATATTCGAGGTTTCTTCGAGCGCTTATCCTTGTCTCACATTTGACGGATTTTCCAAAAAAAAATCATTATTGGCTGTAATTATTGAATCTTGAGACATTAAAAGATTCGGAAATCAATTCTGAATTGTTGAATGAGTTAAAATTGCATATTAATATCTATTAAAAACGTGAGAGATGTCAAAAATTTCAAGTGAGAGAAATTTCAACCTGAGAAAATTGCGGGACGTTTGCGGTTAAAACAGAAAGTGAACTGGTCTTCATTTTTATATTTTGCATTTATTCAAGAATTTTTTATTTTTTGTATGTTTCATAAAGGGACTATCAAATCATGGAGATAGTTTGAACTCCAAAATAAATATCTAGACTTTACATATTTTTTTACATATTTTACATATTTTTGAAGCCTGCAGCATGGTGTGTGGGGACGTATGTGAACTTACTTCACATGAGCATTGCATTTTTATTGCGTCGAATTGGCCACAATATTTAATCAGATAGAGAGAATATTATCTACGAAAAATAGAATAACATCTTTTTGTGCAAACTAAAATATGTTTTTATGTTCAATTCTTGGAACCCAAAATATGTATGATCAACTTTTCACGCGTCAAAACTAATTTTTGGCAAGTAAAGTATTTTTTTTTGGCAAGTAAAGTATAATTTTTGGCAAGTAAGTATTTTTCTAAACAGTGGGTTATATTGAAGTAGAAATTGATTCAAAGATGCTTAACTACTTGTCACCTGTAAGATACAACTACGCGTTTTTGGTGCCTATTTAATACGTCTAGGAAGTTAATCTTAAAAATCGGCCACTCCACTATGTTTAAATGGTGCAGAAGAATGTAATGGGGAACATACAGCCTAAACATAGAGCCTAAAGAAGAATGGAATAAGGAACATACAGCCTAAATCTTCACAATGATGATCTGACTCAAGATTATTAAACCATTGCTCATTGCAGAAAACTGTTAAGAGATGCATTTTATTATTAATTGCAATGAATGAAATTCATTACTTCGAAGCAAATCAGCGTGAGCAGCGCCAATTCATTCATCAATGCCTGGGACCCAAATATCATCTCCATCACAGATTACCGGTCAGAGCGGATGCTGTTCATGTGTGGAAAGCCACCTGACTTGGAAGTGCTTTATTTTAATTTCGATCTATAAAAATGCTGAAATTCAGGATAGTGGATTAACAGTTGAAAAATCCATGCGCACAATAGCTTTATTTTTTCTTATTCGGTCGGATAGAGCTTCCATATCACCGAAATTTTCAATATTAACCTAAAAAAGAATGAAATCTTTCTTTTAAAGTCAGCAAATCTCCGTTTTGTTGGTAAACTAAAAAATATTACATTGAGACTTCATTGATGTAATTAATTTCCATCACAAACCAGCTAGAATTCTTTTTGATTATTCCTCAACATTTAAATGAAAAATTTTTCCGAATTTTCAAGGTCCAGCCTTACTTGATTTCATATTTTATAACAGCTTTTAGCTAGATCGAATCATGAAGTTAATCAAAGTTTTACATAAATTTAAATTTCAAAGAAAACACTTTTCTCATATCTTATGATTTAACTCGTTGTTTGAAGGCATCGCTCGCTAACATGCATGAAATATCACGTGCGATCATACCCATTGCATTTCTTGCCACTTATAAAATTTGCGATGATTCTATATTGACTGTAAGGGCATCGTCCGTCTTACTTAAACACATTTTTTTTGGTTCATTCTGACATTCCCGATGCTTAATTAAATGCTAGGCCTGTTGCAAAAATCAGATCACGTTCTCCTATACTCAAAAGGTTAGTTTCCTATCCCACTTCAACATCGCGCTCATTCGTGTTGTGAAATATCTCATATTTTAAGTACTTATATGTGAAATAGACAGAGATAAGCCCATGTTCAACTTATGATTAGGGCTACATGGGGCAGCGCGCCCCCCACTTTTTTTAAACTAAATTTTTGATGAAGTTTTAATTGATACGAGGTGGTTCTTTGTTTTGTTTAAAGATACAACTAATAGATGTGTATAAGAGACAGATNAAATGATGCAAAGGTGTACTCAAATATTTCTGATCTCACTTTATGCATCATGCTGATCAGCGATCTGTCTGTTCAAAAGACATTTGTAAAATCCAATGTACTCTAAGGTAGCCCGTAAAATATACTTCATTAAATAGTAATGGGTTTCATGCTTAATATTTAACTTTCAGTTTTTAACGATAGTATGGTTGGAATTAAGAATGCACTGATATGGCAAATCTTCTTACCAAATCAGCATCCAACTGAAAATTACACGTTTAAATGGATACTTCTGAGAGTAAAATTGTCCAAACTAGCTAGGTCTAGAAGCTAAAATTTATTATTATTATTATTAGAATAGATTATTACAACATTATTTATTGTCATCAACAAGCAATTAGAATACGTACTGAGCTGTTGAATCTGTCAACGTACCTTAAAACAAAATTGCCAACGACGTCTCATACTCAATGCTTCCCCGACAAAAACATTGCAGAGAAGATGAATGAAAAGATAAAGATAGATTGCATACCTGAACACATACCTCATTCATCGCAAATTCGCAATATATTTGATTTTTTATGCTGATCAATATTTTTAATAGTTGATTTGATAAACAATATATTTAATAGTTGATTTGATAATCAATATATTTAATAGTTGATTTGATCAATATTTTTATATTGATTTAAGAAAACTTATTTGGTCATTTGTTACTTTTTATTACCATTAATATAAGCTCTCGAGTTGTAAAGAGGTTTCTTAGTTTTTTGGTTTAGGTATCTTGCCGTTGAAGAGCGTTTTCAGAGAACTGTGATTTATTATTTTCGATGTTCACAGTCTAAGAACATTATAATGTTTTTTAATATGTTCATTCGTAGTAGTATTATTAGGATGCTCAATATTTCCACAAATTATCTGTTAAAAACTTAGTTTCGGTTTTTAAAACACAGGTATTAATTCTGTAAACTCACAGCACAAGGTTCATAACTGGATGTATTGTATTGAATTCGTGGCATAACACAAACTTCATTCAGGAGCTTGGACTGAAATTTGGCAATGTGAAGAACATTTAAACGCACGGTGATGTCCCATTAGGGGAGGTTAGTCTCGTTCAAAATTTGTCTGGATTATTATTTTAAAGTTTGTAAATTGCATATATTGTTTTAAAATACTTTATTTGTATTTTTAGGATTTATTTAGAATATTTTGCTAGACGTAGTCAACGTTGGGTTTGTTGATGGAACCAAAACTACAGCTTTAACAAACTTCTTAAAAACTAGAATTATCAGATATTTTTCGGTGAGCCAACTTCACTTTTTACTTAACTAGGACCTTAAGAAACAACCTTGACCATCAGGTACAAAATAATTGCGGCTAATATAAATACAGATAAAGTGATTACTTGCAGGCGCATGCATGGAATAACAAGCACCAAATAAATGCAGTTGGAGTTGACCTGCAAGATGACCCTTGCAATCCTTATGTTCGAACTTCAAAATTCTGCAAAACAAGATAATTTGCCGGATTGAGAAAAAAAAACGATGAAATTTGTTATGAGAATTATTTTTGGTATTCAACAAAACTTGTTTAAATGAACAACTTCGTATCAGTTTAACGAAAACAATGACTTTTTTAGCCTTAGTTTGAATGGCGTTGTATGTTTGCAGATTAAATTTAATGAGTTATTGGGCGCAACATTAATGGGATGATACATCGTTTTCGGAGTAAGAGCCCAAAATTAAAACAAGGCATTTGAAAATGCAGTTCTTTGGGCATTTAATGTAATCCTCATGCCAGTTTTCGGCAATGTTGTAGCTATATAAGCCCGTCAATCATTGCCGACGGTCAGTCGTGGCTGGACTGCGGTAGTGGCAGCGTCGCTCGCTTGAAAGTACGCCTTCCGCGGCGGTAATCCGAGCCACGTGGCGAGAAGCGAAGTCTCTGGTCGGATACATAATAACGTCTCTATTATGCTTTGTCGATGTGCCTCTCTTTATTGATAGACAGCTTAGAAAGTTTCACACACGATCAAAAACAAGACTAGATTTATCAGTAAATACTGAAATTATGACAAAACCCCCCCTGCAATAACTGAATGAATAATTCATATTAAAAGTAAAATGACGCGGGTGCAATAAATCGTTCATTTTTTGCGTTTCGATGCGAACTACTCAATAACGAATCCACTGACCAATCATCAAAAAGTCTACGGTTTTCAGACCGAATATTTTAATTGCTTTCGGGAATTATTTTCAGTAAAAATACGTATATTACACGAATCATAAACGCGTTGTTCCTTGGAAATTATTCCGGGACTCTCACAGCCATAGAAATCAATCAAAATACAAGGCTGCTTTTTAATCAACTGAATCCTTACTGGAACAGAAGTTGTTATTGCTCTAACTTAACAACCGTTTATCATCGGCCAATCACTGTAAGGTCAAAAATAATAAAAATGAAAAAATACAGCAGCCGGAGCTAAGCTACGTTCAAATAATAATCATTAAAAAAAATATTACTACGTTATTAATAGCGATGTTTCATTATGGTCTATGTTTTAAATAATGATTAATTTATTCAAAAATTTTGTGATTGCCAATAAAATCATGATACAGGTATTAAAATATTATCAGAAAATCAACAAACAAATTTAAATCCTATGAAATTTTTCAGAAATAATTTATTTCATTAATTTTTAACATTTTTACACTAGCTGCATGAATTATACTTAGATTCCAGTAGTCACGCAGTCGGAAGAAATATTTGCCTCTACGTTGATTTAAAAAACAATGGTTCCGTGGTGCAAAGACCATAGGATTTATAGGGAGACCTTAGGATACAAAGATCATAGGGTGTCATAGGGAGACCTTAGGGTGCCAAGACCATAGAGTGTCATAGGGAGGCTTAGATAAACAAGACCATAGGGTGTCATAAGGAGACCTTAGGATGCAAAGACCNCATAGAGTGTCATAGGGAGACCATAGATCGCCAAGACCATAGAGTGTCATAGGGAGACCATAGATCGCCAAGACCATAGAGTGTCATAGGGAGACCATAGATCGCCACGACCATAGAGTGTCATAGGGAGACCATAGATCGCCAAGACCATAGAGTGTCATAGGAAGACCATAAATCGCCAACACCAGAGGGTGGCAAGATGAGATCTCACGTCCCACTAATTAGTCTGCAAGCCCTCGTTGTATCCTGGATACTAGTTTGCCGGTCAGCTCCAGCAGGTGAGTGAACAACATTAAAGTAATCTTAGCCTTTCTTAGGTCTAAAGCTAGACGGTAGATTTGCAAGAATTCAATGCTGGGACCGGTGCCAGCCATAGGAATCTTCCAGTCTTATCGCGAGAAACTTCCAGTCCTATATGAATATTCAGCCCATGTTGGATAATTCTACTGACGATTAACGTTGGAAAATAATTATTATTATTATCTGTACGATTATAACGTCGTACAATTATTATGCAGTGTCCCGAAGGTTAAAAGCGTGAATTTTTCAATCAAGTTATAAATTATAATTTGAAACAATACATACACACATTGAAAGAAAATAGAATTAGTAGGAAAAGCAAAATTGTTATTTGTGGCTACAAAATGTATGTCTCTGTAACAAAAATGCATAAAAACATGTTCATGCAGTGAAGGCTATCACATTTTCTTAGCTCAGCTGAATTCAAAAATTCTGATATTCCACGTGGAAATGAATTCCACGATATTCTCATGTTTGGATAAACATTGAGAGTCTTTTTTAACTGAATCAAACAAAACATTCGGTTTGACAATGCTAATGCAAATAATCTTAATATAAGCTGCATTCACACATCAGAAGCTTCACACTTTATCCACTGAAGTTTTTTATTCATGTGAATTAGCGTTTCATGAATTTTTTAATTTTCTTTAACGAAAGTGTTCCTTTATAGGTAGTTTTGTCACACAGCGTAAATGTTTATCACATTTTTTTTATTTAGAAGCCTTTATCAACTCAGCGATCACAATCGAGACGACGCACAATGTGACTCCGAGTGCTGCAAGATTTTGGCAGAATATTTCCTGAGACACCTGAGCTGTTCAACTTACCTGCAATTATGTTTCCCTTTTTTAAATAAACATGTTAGATAAGGTTGGTTCCATGATATAGATGTTGGGTAGAATGTTTCAATTTTCGTATGAATTTTTTTTTAACTATTTATTCAGTCATTTATACAGCTGAATTTCTTTGATAATTGTCCTGAATTTTCAATTTCTCCATGATTTGCTTTCGTTCAAATTTGGGATGGTGCCACTGTTTGGCATTTTCAAAATGTCATTAGAATTAATTGAATTAGAAAAATGTCATTAGAATTAATTAGAAAATAAATTAATTTTCAATTAATTTATTTTCGTATGGCTTGGTCGCACAAATCCCCCTGCGCGGTATTTTTTCATGAACGTCAGTAAATATTTTCCTATTCGGTAAATATTCTAGTGTTCGGTAGATATTCCAATGTTAGGTAAATATTCTAGTGTTCTGTAAATATTCCAATGTTTGGTAAATATTCTAGTGTTCGGTAGGTATTCTAGTGTTCGGTAAATATTATAGTGTTGGGTAAATATTCTAGAGTTCGGTAAATATTCAAGTGTATGGTAGATATTCTAGTGTTCGGTAAATATTCTAGTGGTCGATAAATATTCTAGTGTTCAGTGAATATTCTAGTGTCGGTAAATATTACAATGGTTCGGTAAATCTTCAAGTGTTCGGTATATATCTAGTATTCTTGAATATTCTAGTGTTCGGCAAATATTATTCAGAATTGTAATCAAAACATTCAAGCTGTCAGCGTTTTTTGTCCAATTGTCTATGCATGCTGTTATCATATACGGCTCTATGGGACAACATCCAATAATATATCATTTTTCCAATACCGCTAGCTTATTTATCAAGTTCCGAAATGTTGTACGATCTGAAGCAGCGAACGAAGAAGTCATCAGGTCGTCCTAATGGGCCGAGCCATCGCGCGAGTTTGGCAGGCAATACCATTATAGCAGATCGCGTCCTTCGGGCGCCATATCGCCGCTACCAGTAATTGGAAAAACTGACGTCGGCGCTGATTTGTGGCGTTGTCCCCGAGACCCACGTAGCTACTGAGCGCCACAGGCGCCCGCCACTCGCCTACATTAAAAAAACCAGCCTCGGGTTTTGTGTTGAGCAGAAATTGATTACGATTTTTGAATTGAAATTTATTCGTAGATGTCAAAATACGTACTTATCAGGTCCTAATAATGAAAATACAAAATTTATTATATAAATATTGCGAAAATATGAAACGTTTCATTAAATTCATAAAGCAGGACATGGAACTTATGGAAATGCATGCATTTGCAAAAATAATTTGTAATAAACTATAGAACCCATTCATTCTGCTGAATGCCATCGTATATTGGCCCTCGGCCCTATCTTCGACGATTCGTATTGTTCTATATTGAACTAGTAATACTTAATTAGCAGGGGTGCATAGAATTACCGAAAGAATTTCACAACATTTCTTAATCACTGTAGCACTGTAGTAATATTTTCCCCTTAAAATTGAGAGAACATAGCGACGTTGAGGCCATGATTATATGTATTTATTACCATAATTTTCAACAATTGCTTTGTCTGTAGGTTCTTCTCTAGTATCCTGTAAAACATATGATAAGGGATAAAGTAAGAACATATAAGCTTAATAATTGTTATAATTTCTTTATTATCATAGGAAGCATCGGCATCAGCTGGGACTGGGGCAAGTGGTGGACGTATACCGGCATCTCTGGTGAGTTACTTACATGAGACTCGATGAATGTGAAAATTATCATTGTGTAACAATAAGGGAAATCCCAACATTAAAAAGTTATGAAAACAATTATTAATGTTGATTATTTTTAATTAATGAAATAAACAATCATTGCAACTAAAAATAATCTCATTGCTTATCAATCACAATTTAATAATAAATAATGAAGAAAAAATTGATCCAATTTTATTACAATGAAATTGTTTGAATGTTCTAATTAGACTCAGACCTCAACGAATCTGCATCTCCTTCTAAAAAATGTGTGGATCCTCCTATAATCCACATTTTACACTCATGAGTTCTTTTTCACTCAAGAATATAATCGATAAATCATCCCCTATTTCCGTATTTGTCCAGGACCAAAATTCTGGGGACTTATCAATCCAGAATGGAGTCTGTGCACTCACGGCAGGCGGCAAAGTCCCGTAGACTTGCAGCCCCGACTGCTGCTGCACGACCCGAACCTCGGGGCGGTACACGTTGATAAACATCAAGTGAGAATAAACCTATATTTAGTGATAACAACTCGTCGCATATAATTAATTTGAGATGCTAAAGAAATACTGGACAATTGTGATTGTAAATGTCAAGTTTGTTCACGTTTGTCGATGTGCACTTTGAAAAATATCAGGTGAAAATAAACGTATATTTAGTGATAAAAACTCGTCGCAAATACTTAATTTGTGATGCTACAAAAATACTGGACAAGTGTGGTAGTAAATGTCAAGTTTGTGTACGTTTGCCGACTTGCACGCTGATAAAAATCAGGTGAAAATACGACGTATATTTAGTGATAGTATCTCGTCGCAAATACTTAATTTTTGATGCTAAGAAAATACTGGACAAATGTGGTATAAAATACCAAGTTTGTGCACGTTGGTCGACGTGCACTTGGAAAAATACCTTGTGGAAGTACAACGCATGTGTTGGGATAATAACTTATCACCAGTAATTATACCCTTGGTGAAGAATAGAAAAATTATAGGAAAAAATAAGTTTCGTATATTTAGGGTGGAGCCTTTCATTAAAACAAGTTTGATTTACATAAATTAATTAAGATAAGTTCGGTTAAAAGAATTGAATTAGGATTAAAAACAAAAAGTGCATTTTTTTATCTAACCTGGAAAAAATTATTGTACAAATAGTCGCATCCAATTCCATAATTAAACACTGTTTGCAAATAATTCAATTAGAACCTTACTTGTTTTTTTCTTGGTAAAACCTGGCGATATTTCCACGATATTTTTTTCTGTTTTGCCGGTTGCATGCAAAAACCATAACGACTTCTACTTCAGTGGCTTTGAAGTCTGAAATCTCGATGACTGAGCTTGATCTCGAAAATTATTCTACAGTTATGTTTATGTTTCTAGTATAACTAGATTATGAGCGTTTATTTGAATTTTTTAACAGATGAAAGAACAGGTCATTAGAAATATGGTGAATCTCTTTGTATATTTTTCATATAAACTTCAAAGGAAATCTATGATCTAATAAGTCATTCGACCTACTAATACATCGGTTTCGAAAATAAAATTTTCCACCGAACACCTTAACGGAATAAATAAATAAAACATTAATTATGAAGTTGATTTTAATTTGAGTAGGATTCGCCGCCCTCGTGCAGCAATGCTGCCTTAACGTCAGTATCTAAATTCCCCAGACGGCAAGTAAGTTACCCTAAAAACTTTCCTGTAATTATGCAAGGAAGCCGCGTAAGAAACGAGTGCTCTGAGTTTTATCGCTATTATTTCAGGAATAACGATGCGAAACTTGCAGATGACATCACCATTTACCTAATGGAGTCCCGTAATGAATAGACGATGCAAAAACATTACTTTTTAACTAAGAGTTCGATGTGACACTTGGCGGAAGTTCGGCCAAGTGCCAACGAATTTGAAAAAGTTAAGAACGAGGATGAATTGTTTATCAACAAAGATGTGTCAAAAATACACATGAACACTAAGAAATTCAATATTAAACTTCTTTATTTGTCACTGATTTTCCTGATGACTTCATATTCTAGAAATTAAATACTGATATCCATTAGAAAATTGTGTCACTAATAAAATACCTTTCAAAAATTCGTAAAAGGAATTTCAGTTTGTTCAAAATAAAAATAAATTAGTGGTAGATTCCAATAAATTAAAGCTTGAACTCTTTATTAATATTTTTCATCTACTTTAGTTTCTACCTACACTTTCCTAAAGTTCAATAACATTTGTCGTTTGATATTACTTGACTTAATCCCATGGTTCAAATTTGAGTTTATAAAATTATTATTAATTTCCACATTATTAATGTTGTACCTAAAACCATGGGGCTTTTGGGCAAAATCTACGAAAAATTGAGACATAGGTAGCATATTTAAGTTTATAATGAGGAATTAATAATGAAGTGCACTACCCGCAGCAGAATCAATTCAAAATTAATGAAAACAAACCCCGGCAACAGAATTACAGAAAATCTTTTGAAAGCCAAGGAATAACAAAATCGGTTTGAGTGAAAAATCATGGTTAACCTGAGGATAGTTGAAAGTTTTTTCAGTAAAAAACTCCTCTTAACCGGCAAGTCGTAAGAGTTAAACGCAGAAAAATATTGCATATCTTCGCGAGAAAAGTTTTGAAAACTGCTCTGTTTTAATATTTAGATTAGAAGCTGATAAATCATGTCAGCAGCGGATATACAGGTCAATACAGGTCAGCGGATGTATTGAACATAAACACAGTGGATAAAAACTATTGCTTATGTCTCTTCTAATAAATTAAGATCAGGTCTGCAGCGGTTATATTATGGATAAACACAATGAATAAAAACCTTTGCGTGCGTCTATTTTAATTTCAAGATTAGAATGCTGATAAATCAGGTCAGCAGTGGATATATTGAAGATGAACACAGTGGATAGAAAAAACAATGCTTGTGCCTTTTTTAATGTTAAGATTCGAAAGCTGAAATATCAGGTCAGCAGCAGATTTATTGTGGCTAAAAACCCTTCTTTGCGCCTCTTTTAATATTAGGATTAGAATGCTAATAAATCAGGTTCGCGGTGAGCATATTGTGGATAAAACACAATGGATAAAAACCTCTGCTGGCGACCTGGTCATGGGACCGAGGATTGAACAGAGTTGCAGTCTAGGCCGGAGTACCCTGCAGGCTGCCGTGCAATAGCGGCGTCGTCTTAAAAGATTTACCTGCGCCGCTCATAAGGCTGTTGCTGGGCCAATATTTTGCCAGACGCCACGTCAGTTCATTTGCTCCGAAGCACGAGGCACTAGTGCCTGTTTCATGTTCACAGCTGAGCCTGCTTAAACCTGCTTAAAAATAATTAAACAATATAGAATAATTTTGGTGTAAATTAATCTGGAAAGAGGTTCTATATAGGTGGTTCAACTTTCCCACTCTTGAATGATGTTCCCTGTTTCTTCTTTTGGCATATTATTTTAATATGTCGTATGATTGTGAATTTCAGTAGTAAAATTCGTCAGCATTCTAAAACGAGCACGCCTTAATTTTTGGGCCTTCACACATCAAGACTCATGATTAAAAAATATTTGCAGACCTTTTCTCAAACTAATAGTTAGCTACAGTACTCATATATATATTCAGCTTGCCTGCTTCACTAACACCAGAATCTTCCGAACTTGATTGCCCAGATCTATTTTAAAGCTACAAATTACTTAGAGTACTTAGTTTAGTGCATGGATTGTTGAGTTAAAACACATTTTATTTGTAATTTGTTCGATCAGCTTTGATTTTGTGTCATTTGTTTTATTTTTTATTTCTTTTTTTTTTTTGTTTTATTTGTACCATCAGCTTAATAAAAAAAATTTAAAAATTGTGTGTTCTAACTCACTGTAGATTAACTTCCAAGCTATTCACTAGCGTAGTTTACAGGCCTAAGTCGGCTCTGCTGCAACTATCACCAAAATTCCCAATCTTTAAAATTTAAATTGCCAGCTAAAAGAGTTATAGCTGATATGGTCAATATTTTACCACAAATGGTAATTACAAAGTATTGTCGAGTTTAAATTTATCAACTCACCCTAGTCGTGTTGAACTGCATCTTTTCATGCAAGGCCTCGACAGGCAAATGTCCGTACAATCAATAATAATTGCGAGATCATAACTCCGTCAGCCAATTACTGACGGTTTTTCAAGCTAAACCCCCTAATAATAGACAAAAAATCAATCGCTAAGTGTTATTTGGACGCTATACTTGGACTTAAGCCGCTACGGGTGCTTAGGCCACTAGGTGTGCTTGGACCGCTGCGTGGACTTAGGCTACTAAGTGTACTCATTTCGGTACGTGTAATTCGCTACGTGTACTTGGGCTGCTAAGTGTACTTTGGTCGCTACGTGTACTTAGGCCACTAGTAGTACTTAGGCGATTACGTGTGCAGAAGCGAGTTTTGATATTATAGGCCCTTAAGTTTAGCATTGCCAAATTTTTTCTCATTACTCCTATTGTAACAATTAAGCTGTTGAGGTGCTCTAGACTAAAACTATGGATGAACAAAAAAATTAAGAACTATGGGAAAGCTCAGTCATACTAATATTTATTACGTGATTTAACAATGGATGATAAAACCAGCTTAGCCATATTGCAGGTACAACTCCTCAAAAATCTCATATTTTTAGCTTATTTTCTCATTTATGGAAAAAATTCACTATTGTGCTCGCCATGTCCGTCTGTCTGTCTGCCTGTCTGTCTGTCCGTCTGTCCGTGACCTCAAGTTTTCGTCGACGAGAAAATGAGAAAATGCGCTCTCTGTCACTCACTACAGTGAGTATTGAGTTATATTTTTGTATCTCGAATCGTCTTGTTTGCTGCCGCAGGTTAGCCATTTAAACCTGCTTAAAAATAATTAAACAATATAGAATAATTTCGGTGTAAATTAATCTATTCCGAAAACAGGTTCTAGGTGGTTCAACTTTCCCACTCTGTAATGATGTTTCCTTTTTTGTAAGATATTTTTTTAATAAGACAAATGATTATAAATTTCAGTGGGAAAATTCGTCATCGTTCTAAAACGAACACGCCTTGATTTTTGGGCCTTCACACATCATGAGTCATGATCAAAAAATATTTGCAGACCTTTTCTCAAACGAATAATTAGCTATAGTGTCCCTATATATATTCAGCTTGCCAGCTTTACTAACACCAGACCCTTCCGTACTTGATTGCCCAGATCTATTTACAGCCACAAATTACTTAGAGTACTTATTTGAGTTCATGGATAGTTGAGTTAACACACTATGTTACTACTTACTACCTGTACTTAGGCCACTAGTAGTACTTAGGCGATTACGTGTGCAGAAGCTAGTTTTGATATTATAGTCCCTTAAACTTAGCACTGCCAAATTTTTCTCAGATTGGAGGCAGTCTGACAAACACCGGCCATAGCGTCGTCTTCATCGCCGACAGCGGCACCGACGACCTGATGTTCGACGTGTCACACGTCTACCACCAGAACTCTTCGTCACCATTTGCTCGACATGACGAGACGAGGAGACAGTTCGGTGACCACGCGGTAGATGTCAGAGGAGGGACCATGTTGACAGACGATGGTCGGGACGTGTCATCGTCAGGACTTTTTGACCGCCAGAGCGAAGACAGGATGGGGATGGAGCAGAGACGCAGGCCAGATTTTGAAGTGAGAAATGGGAGACTTGGCGAGTCAGAGACAGAGAAGGAAGCGAATCAGAACAGAGACAAGAGAACTGCAGCTGTTAACATCGTCGGAGGCCCGCTATCTTACAAGTATCAAGTGCGTTCATTACTCCTATTGTAACAATTAAGCTGTTGAGGCGCTCTAGACTAGAAATATGGAAGAACAAAAAATAAATACCTATTGAAGAGCTCAGTCATATTCATTTCTATTACAAGATTGAACAGTGGATGATAAAACCAGCTAAGTCATATTGTAGGTACAACTCCTCAAAAAACTCAGATTTTTGGATCTCGAATATTCTTGTTTGCTGCCGCAGGTTAGCCACGTCCAGTTCCACTTTGGCACGGGCGACGGCCCGGGGTCCGAGCACACCGTCAACGGGTCCGCATTCCGCGCCGAGGTCAGCCTGACTTTAAATTGATGTTCAGCCACCAAAAACTGTACTAACTTCTTTGCAATTAGATATATATTTTTTCAATGTTATTTCGTTGCCTTGTTCAAAAATCTTTTTTTGACGCGCTTCTTTTTTACCACAAAAATTATTCCATTGGCATGGTCTAATTGATAGTAAATTTAGTATTTATATAGTCTATTTTTAAATTGGAAGTTAACCAAGAATTATAAAGCAAGAAAACGTCACTTAAAGTGTTATGCTAAATTGTGATAGTGTTTTATGACTCCTCATTTATGGAGATAAATGAAAGCCTCGTGAACGGCACCATACAAATATTGCCGAACAAAATGTGTGTAATTTATTGATCAAAACATAACAACATATTCATCTCGTTTGTTTCGTGCATTTCAGATGCAAATCTACGGATACAACGCGCAGCTTTACAAAAACTTTTCTGAGGCCGTCACGAGACCACACGGCACTACAGCCATTGCTGTTCTAATACAGGTAATAAATATCTTACCTAATACAGGTAACGAATATCTTACGAACATAACTGTACTAATCTAAGTTATTCAAATTTATGAAGAAAAATGGCGGTACTAACCCAGGTTATTGAATTTCATGAAGAACCATGGCGGTACCAACCCAGGTGATTCAATTTCATGAAGCAACATCGCTGCACTAATTGACGTTATTTAAATAATAAATAGTATTAAATAGTAATAATATTAATTAGTAAATTTACTAGTCTCCCTAGTTATGGAACTATCTATTTACAATATAGAGAGGATAAGAACTGAAGGCAGAATTTAAACTGGGTTCAGCCTAAAAATATACAGGGACTCAAAAATTCGCAGGTCTGAAACACCAGTTGTGGAGGCTAAAACTATAAAAAAATCACTATCGGTCATAGGGACGCTGCACTGCTCGGCATGAACGTAAACGGCTGAATGACGGGGGATGCGCAAGGTAGTTTCATTATCTATAACTCCTTCCTTTGTGCTCCGCCAGCCTAGTATAGAAATTGCGTGATGTTAGACCGACATACGAAGATATGCAATGCGCACAACTATATTGATAAACTAGAAACGATCGCATAAAAACAAGGAAAGCATATTTGTACTTGAAAAAAAAATATCTAATGTTGAAATTGTTCACCAGCAATGTATGAAGATTTACATCGGGGAGGTATTTAGCGAAAATAACTTTCAATTCGTTTGTCATAGTCTCAGATGCAGGACCAAAAGAAGGAAAAGAAAAATAATCACCAAGACTATCGTCACGCTTGGGAACAACCTCAGCATATTGCTTATAGACAAGAATTTCTTAATTTGAGTATACACCAATTGCGATGGAAACCCACTAGTGAAAAGATCCTGGCCAAATATTCTGAATCCGTTTGCATAGCATGGAAATGTGCATAGCTTTTTTATCTAATTCCTGACATATCGATTATTCATACATATCATCTATCATACAAATCGATCATTCATACATATCATCATTTATCATACATATCGATCATTCATATCATCTCTCATACAAATCGATCATTCATTCATATCATTTATCATAAATATCGATCATTCATACATATCATCTCTCAAACATACAGATGTCGTACAAAAGTTCAACATGTCGGGAATTCTCCATGCCATTTTAAATAAGAAAGAACCTCCGACTTAAGCGACCTATACGAACCTGACAGCTTGACAACCCCGTCATAGAATAATAAAGTCGAGCTTCATTTCATCTTTGGTCTACAGAAAAAAATCGTTATTCATTAAATCATTAGCCTAATGCTTTCTTATATCATTCATTTGCATTGTCAAAACTGCAATACTACTCATTCATTTACGAAACGAGTCGGAATGTTTTATTAGAATGTCACTTGGTTGATGTTTCTCTGTCATCGTTTAAAGGCCAGTATTTGATTGAAATAAAAACTATACATAGACCTAATCTAAGTGGTGAAGAATTTTTACCGCTGGATCTTTAATAAACCCGTTTATCATTTATGCGCTTATAATTTAAACTCAATCGTGGAATTGGTAACCAGATTCTTGAAGTTTGCCTTGCCGTTTATTGAAGTCAAAACAATTAAGAATTACTGGAAAAAATAATATATTATCTCGACAACCAGGTAGGGCTATTGGGCCATCCAGGCCTGGCCAAAATCCTGGACGCATTACCGCGGGTGCGGTGGGCGGGGGAGGCTGTGTACGTGTTTCCCGTGAGCATCAGTGAACTGCTGCCTCACACCCAGCACTACATGACCTATGAGGGATCCCTCACACAGCCCCCCTGCCACGAGACAGTCACCTGGATAGTCATGAATAAACCTATTTACGTCACCCGCTCCCAGGTGAGAAAGTAATTCAATCCATATTGGTATATAATCGATAGATTATATAGATAGATAGATAAGTCAACCGCTCTCAGGTGAGAAAGTAATTCATTCCATATTGGTATATAATTGATAGATTATATAGATAGATAGATAAGTCAACCGCTCCCAGGTGAGAAAGTAATTCAATCCATATTGGTATATAATTGATAGATTATATAGATAGATGTATAAGTCACCCGCTCTCAGGTGAGAAAGTAATTCATTCCATATTGGTATATGATAAGTCACCCGGTCCCAGTTGAGTAAGTAATCCCAGCTAATATTAGTAACTGTCATGTTCTTTCACGCCTCCCGGTCCCAGTTGAGTAAGTAATCTCAGTAAATATTAGTAACTGGCAAGTTCTTTTACGCCTCCCGGTCCCAGTTGAGTAAGTAAGCCAATCAAATATTGGTAACTGGCCAATTTTACATCATCCGTTCCCAGTTGATAAGTAATCCCAGCGAATATTAGTAGCTCGCAAGTTCGCTTACGTCACCCGGTCTCATGTGAGTTAGTAATCCTATCAATATTGGTAACTTAACCTTATCCTTGACCTGAATTATTTAAAGCGATCAAGAACCCCCTCTATGGCAATCACCGAACTTATAGTTCGCTCAGGATGACTGTTAAAATATTAACTGAAAATAGATACATTTAACCGAGCGAGCATTCCATTTCAAAATAGGAATCTTCTAACAGATGTCATCAATAATATCTTTCAGTTGTGATAACCTTGAATGTTATCGTCTCCAATATTTATCAGTCGCTGTGGCTGCAGTCGGTCGCAGGTGCACGCCACCAAACTTCTGGACAGTCGTTATAAAGCCGCCGGTCTACATGCACGAAAGTTATATAGAATTTGTTATAGAATTTCAATCTAACTTCATTGAATTTTCATTTTATTGAATGAAACAGTTTAGTCAAAGATTTCAAGTATTTCTTTTAAACGATTATTCAAATCACTGCCTCAAAATGATACCTACACCACAACTTCAACATTGAATTGTGTTTAAGTGTTCCGTTTATTTCGGTGAAGTTGTGGAAAGAAAATACTAATTATATTCCTGGTAATCTCCAATAAAATTTCAATTTAACTAATTTAAATTTTCATTCCATTGATTGATACACTTAGGCCAATGACTTAGATTCACTCAACTGTCCATTTTACATTTTTCTTCCATTTGCCTTTTTTTCAAGTCCGTTTCTTAAAATCAGAACTTAAAAGCGATTAGTTGTTGGGAGATCAGCAGAAACATAGGCACTGAATAAATTAGCATCCTATAATGAGCACTAAACGAAAGCCAATATCCTGTTGGAAAAATAATTCCACTACTTGTGTAACCAATGTCACCATCGGCAAAGTTTCTGATACCCAAAGAATTCAAAAGCAGACATAGCAAAGTAGTCGATGCAAAAACCATGCAATGAAAAGACATTATAATCGTCACGACTCTGATGTCATCATGCAAAATTAACATGAAAAAGTTATTTCTTTTTAATTGCCATTAATATTCATGATGTAGAAAAAACGTATTAAACCGTCTATTATTTTCTTAGATCCGAAAACACATTTTGCAATAGTGTTTAAATTGTCTGGGCTGCAGCTGTAGAATCAACTTTGCCATGTCTGCAGACATGGCAAAGTAGTCGATGCAAAAATCATGCAATGGAAAGACATTATAATCGTCACAATTCTGATGTCATCATGCGAAATTGGCATAAAAAGTTATTTCTTTTTAATTACCATTAATATTGATACTGTGGAATATATAATATATTAAATCGTCTTTGAAAAACTATTATTTTCTTAGATCCTAAAGCATATTTTACATTAGTGTTCAAATTGTCTGGGCTGCAGCTGGGAGCTTTACAGCAGCTGCAGCAGGGCAAGCGAGGGCTGCCACAAGCCCGACTCCTGAGCAACTACCGTCCCACGCAGCGCCTCTACCATCGCACCCTCGGCACCAACATCGCCTTCACCAGCGCAGACTGCGGAGTACCTACCCGCCCTACTAGCTATACAGGTACGCAACGCAGCCTTCACCAGCGCAGACTGCGGAGTGCCTGCCCGCCCTACGAGCTATGCAGGTACGCAACGCAGCCTTCACCAGCGCAGACTGTTTTTTTCTCTTGCAGCGAACGTCTTCAAATGAACTCGCACTGCTCGTGGTCCGTTGCATGGAATTTTTACACAGAGGTGACGACTTGATATAACTTAAAGATATTCAATGATTGTTCATGCCATCAGATCACTGAAATGTGCAGGAGTTCCTCAGTGTTAGTGAGGACTCAATGAGAGCTGGGACTGAGGAGAATGTTGCTGCTAAATAATATTGTGTAATGGAAATATGTATAATAAATATCATGTTTTCTGGGAAAATTGGGCTAAGCAGTTGGTTGACTTCACAATGCAAAGTATCACAAGGAAAGTGTAGATTTACGTGAAAATTTTAGGTTCTTAGATGAAACAAAAGTGGTCAAATTTCGAACCCTTGTTAGGATGGAAACTTAATTATGAAAAATTATAGTGCCAGGTGGAACTTAATAATTACGAGAGATGTGAAAGTCTTTGAAAGATTTTGAAATCGACAACGAATGCGTGTGGTTTCAGGGGATAGAAAAGTTGTCCAAGGAACTAATTCACGGACATACGGACTATTTACGGTGATATAGTGTTTCGGGGGGGATATAGCTTATGCATGGGAAATGGTTTTTCGGGGGATATAGTTTATGCATGGGAGAAATCACATACCCACAGTCGCAAAGAAAAAATAAAAGCATATCTGACACAAATATGGACTGATAGTTGAATAGTTCAAAAACATATTCAAGTGACGAAAAATTGTGAGCTTCACGCACCGAATCGGACAATCCTATTTGTAATTATTGATTATTATTGTGTAGTTAGCGGGCCAATAAGGCGATTAATGTAGCTTGTTGATAAGATCTATTAATTATTGCGGTTTCATGAAGATTAGGTTTTTTCAATGATCCTTTATTTATTTTCTTGAATAGAACATTAATATTTCATAACTAAATCACTCCTCAATCGTCTGAGCAACAAACATCGAATTTTTGTTTATCGAGTTTCTTTCGATCAAAAATCTTTTCCCGATTTCATATCCATGAATTCGAACTGACTTTGTTTTTATCAGATAATCTTGTTATTTTATTTTTCTTGCTTTCAGATCTTGTTATTTAAACAGACAATTCAACTCACATCGAGACAATTCACCTTGTATCGCGTGCGGCTTCATGCACTGACGAGTGCAGGATATATGAAATAAATTACTTAAGAAAATCCATGGTTTGATATTTAATGATATCATGCAATCAACATACCCAGTCGTACCAATTGACATCACAACTAAAAAGAGACTCTTGGTATCAATTAATTAATGTTTATTTAGTTGTGCTTTCGCACGGAATTTCAGCTTTTTTGTAGATTCCTTTTTTTGAAATTTTTTCATTTGCCGTTTTATTTTTGTTTTTTCCGGGATATTTCTTATTTTTTATCCTTGTTTCCTTTTTTTTTTTTTTATTTTTGGGGGTTTCTGTGAGCTTTTTCTTTTTCATTTATTTCCATTTCCACCTTTGCAGCTTGAGGTTCAGTCCTGGCTTGATTGAGTTTCTGAATCTGGAGTTCCGGGTTAAAGAGGTTTTACTCTGGTTTTATTATTCAATCCCGTTGGTTAAACTCATGTGCACAACAACAACTCCTTGCAATTTGTTCACTGTCAATTTTTTCTTGTCTATGTGCATCATAAAGAATAACTTCATCATACAAACTATGGCTGAGCGTAAGTTACTCGGCTCTATGTTTGTAAGAGCTCATATAGTAATGTAAGGCATATCATATCTTAAGGAGTATCGTCATCGATAGTTTCAGAGCCGTCTAATCGCGCACACCGACATTAATGTTTGTATCGGTCAGTAGCTACGAATTATTTGTGAAAAATGTACATAATATTTTTCGCCTTCCCTTGACTTTTTGAACAGCAAATTGTTATTTTTAAAAGTTCTTTTGGTTCAAAGCTGAAATTTTATTTTGGTGAATTTAAACTTCATAAATGCGCTCATTAAAGGCATCCGTTTCGGTTAATTAATGGTTTAGTTTTCGTTGAAAATATAATCAATCTTACGCAGCCCTTGTGAATGAACAACTTTTCTATCGATTTAATTAGGTTTCATATCAATATCAGGAGCAAAGGAGGTTTACTCTTTAACGCTGGATTCATAATATTAAGTAATTACACGTGAAGTTTACGTTTTCAAATAAACTCATACCTCCGATGCTTCCACGTCCACGGGTAAGACTTTTCTTTCAGTTGAATTGAAAAGATATTTTTTACTGCAATTTGTAAGTTATCCATTATAACGGATGTAAAATGAAATCCTTGCGTTAATTCATGAATGACCTAGGCTCTATAAATGACATGCTGCTGTTCGAGTCGTCAAAGAGATTTTCTTGTATGCTTGTCCTGTGAAAGACGCAAGCCATTTTTTTATATTGATAAATTGATAAACATAAATTGTATGAATATGAACGATTGAAATCTACTCACGACTTCATTATAAACTTTTCACGAAGTAAAAGCAGATTCCAATTTCTGTAATAAGCTTATTTAGTATGTACTGTATGAGGCGTTACGCTCATAACCATATCATATACTTTTTTCATTGCCCGTAATCCATCTTCAACAATATAATGTGACAATAAAGCAGAGGAGCACTTAACTTTTATTAACCTTTATGCTACCAAATATTTCCCTACGCATTCTTTTCGTAGCAATTGGGACAGGCATGTCTATTAATTAATCAACGAGTTTTTGAAACCTCGATGAAGGCTCGGTAGAAGTCGTGCAAATCATGCTAACATTTTTTTATGAAACGCTCGCATTAAAGCTCCATGGAATTAACGGCGAACGATTTTTGCTACTAAATTTCACTGAACATATGAGGATAATGCAGGGCTACGATAACTGTAGTGAAACACAATGTAAAAGTCAAACATAAAAAGCAAACCATCGCAGCAAACGTATATTATTGCCACTCTATTGCGATTTCTTTAATGTTTGGTCTCCAAATCCTCGATTTTTTTACGCTACAAATAAAGAAGAAAATAGTAGGCCAACCGCTCTAAGCGATTTTTACGACGTTCAACGAACGATGAGTTGTTGACACATCATATCATAACACATGTTATATAATGGTGCCTTAGGCTATAATGTAGCCTAGCATGTTGCTTAAGCCTACATAGCATGATGCCATTGTGCAATTTGTGTAATTACATTTGTATATTTTCATGTAGAACCAGTAGCTACGCGTTACCATTGTTTACTATAGCAGGACGTAAGTTAGATTACGTCAGTCTTTACCTCGGCGTCTTCCTCCTCGGTTGTGTCAATAAACTTACAAACCATTCAACCTTTAATTCCAACCCTACGGAATTAACAGCCATATCATTGTGCTATTTGAACTTCATAATCGTAAAGGCAATGATTACTAAGTAAAATACAATTTTGGGTTCCACTTTTAATTCCGAATGTGACGAACTGTTCTCAAACTCGGCTGTCGATCTAAAAATTTTAGATTTTTAAAAGATTGTCTCATTCACGAGGCATTTAATTTATAATGATTGTAATTGCGTTACACATTCCAGATTATCTTCCAACTAAACCATTACTTTTCAGGCATTTTATTATTGCTAGATTCGTGAAAATCTAAATTTTTTCATTTAAATTGTTATCACAATTTGTGCAGCTACACGTTCCGTTTGAGGTGTTATGTTCAGCGCCAATTATCCGTAAATTCTCGTTTTCTTTACTGATATTATTATATCACTTCCCTTCCCCGGCGAAGAGTGCGTTTCTCTATTGGAAATAAATTCGAGTTACTAAAATTATAGACCTGAGCGTCGGTCAAACGTGATTACCCGTTGGCTGGTCGAGCGCTACTCCAGCCGGACTCCATTTGATGTAACGGATCAATTTTTCTCGGCGCCAATGAGCATTCCATGAGGATAGAGTTCCATATATTTTTGTCAAATGAATGTTTAATAAGAAACGTCGCTGCATTATTGTTTCTGATTGTTTTATCATAGTAAGTCAACGATAATGACCATGACTGACAACTAAATTTCCGATATCGCTGTTGCTCCTCGCAATCCTTTAATTTAAATCTTAGGTCACTTTAATCAGAAGGCTCAGACTAAAACTAATTAATATGTTATTTTTGTGAACAATGGCTCAGTTACAAATGCATAATATCACTATAGTGAATTTATAACAGAATGTAAATTACTATTGCACGAATTGACTAAATGATAAAATACGACTGAATCTAGTCCAGTTAGCTTGCATTTCCATCGTATATTTTCTTAGGGTTTGCCTAACATTAGTTGTTTCCAGTTCTGTAATCAGATACGAATCTTTTATATACCATAGCGCAAGCAAAGCAATTTGCACAGCATACGAAGAGAGTGGGATTTCTTTAACGCTCGCCCGGTTAAATGAAGCGTGCTACAAGACACATTTTAGAGTCATAAAAGCCCCTCTTTTTCTGCACACCATGCAGCCTTAGGCGCTATTGTTATTTTTAATAAAAACTACTCGTAATTGCATTATGTGAGGAATAAGCAAGGCATTGAAGGCCACAAGGGATTTTATAGACAAATTATAATACAATTATAACATTAATTTAACTAACGTGGATCACAATAAGTTGGAAACCGTCGTATACCTTCATATATTCAGCCTATACAAAAATTATTATATTGTTTATCCCTAATGACTACTGTGGAGGCTGAGTGCTTTTTTGGTAATAAGGTCAGATCACATCAAAATAAATAATGTAATAAAAAAAATAGTTTATATATATTTTTTGTTTATAGGTTATTCGGATAAACGGTCGTAATTTCAAGTGGAACTAAAAATACATCAAAGGCGTAAATCAGACCAACGGGCCAACTGTCAGATTTGTTTTATTTAGCCTAAATACCGGAGGTGAGAAAAGCTGCTAGCTGAACTCATCTATTGTACAATGCAATAAACGCCCGTTTAGCTATAAGGTCAAATGAAAATCAAAGCGCTTCCCTGATCAGATTAAAATCTAAAATGTTTTAAGGAAGATAAGTCAGATTTGCAGGTGCGTAAGGCAGCGAATGTGTTGACACCCACTGCAATATTGACGAGTTTTTGAGCGCTTCTAACGCAAAGATGTGAGTTTTTGTGGGCTTATATGGTGAACGTTGGAGGGGAAAGTTTGCTTTGATATGCTAAACTGGATATTCGAAAGTGTGAACTTATCGCGCCGGAGTATTGTACTTCACAATGCAGATCTCTTCAGGCACTTAAGAACTTGGAAGCGTCAGTAAAATATTTTTTCTTAGAACGAAATCATCACCAAGTTACTACGAGCATCTTAACTAATTGAAACTATTCTTAAAATTTTTTATAATATTAATTCACAACCCTCAGAAACAGTCTGGATTCGCGATTCTATATTTCGACTTTTTTGACGCAGTCAAATCATTCCTTGGTTTCAACATAGAGAAAAACTGGGTTGATTTTTTTTATGGTCGAAATGATGCGAAACGGTTCCTCTCTTTTTTATCAAAGGAAACGCACGAGTTTAAAAAACATTTAAATAATATATACAAACAGGCTTTATTATCGCAACATTAAAATTTCCCTATTTAAAATACCTTAATAGGTATCGTGTAAAATAATTAAACGACGGAACTAAGTTTATCCTGTTGAATGTATATGTTCAAAAACGCGTGAATGAAATTTTAACCAGGCAAATTGCAGCGGCATTGTTCATAAACATCTTTGCCAAATTTTACATTATTCGCATCGGATGGTTAAGCAAACTCAGAATTGCTGGGGATATAACCTCTTCCAATGACACGCCTGTAAATACCTTATTCACAAGACCACATCCTACATCGCGATCACTAGGATCACTAGGAGTTTGTTCAGCACGTAAAATGTTACGTGTTTGATGCGCTCGGTCAAGACATGACCACATCTCGACACCGCCGTACGCCTTCAGTAAAATACGATTCCTCGATCCTCACCCGACTATAGGCATCCGATATCGGCCCAAGAACTTCCGAATTTATCTGCTTGTTAGTGAGCGTTCACACCAAGCCCAAGCCCACGTACGCCAACGCCTTGGCTGCGTAAAAATTCAGATATGCAACACATTATTTGACACCTCTAGAATGTGAAGCTGCATTGAAGTGATTCTTTAATTATGACATTGGGTCTACTGCACAGCGAAATACTTTATATGTTGGTGAGATGTCAAATTTGCTATGAAGAAGCTGCTCTGCCCCACCCTTCATTACTGCAGTATATAAGGTAAGTCCACGGTCCATAGGCACAATCAAGG